CCTAACCCTAACCCTAACCCTAACCCTAACCCTAACCCTAACCCTAACCTAAACCAACTAAACCCTAACCCTAACCCTAGTCGTGACAATGGAGACAGTGGCAACCCAGTCCTATACTCGTCTGACCACCCTACCACTTCTCGATTAGAGTCTGGTAGACAGGCACATGCACTCCATCAGAGTGTCGTGACAATGGAGACACCCGATGACTACACCCTATCATAACATGGTGCCCTTTGGAGTGTCCGGCTTCTGTCCAGCAGCGCATGTTGCCTATCACTATCACTCGTAAGCTGCCTGTTCCCACCATCACGACAGGTTGCTACCTCCATTCACCGCATCACATCCTACATCAATCAAGCGCTGTCAAGCTGTTTCCAATCAACCGTTTCCACCTCTCACGCATGGTTTGATCCCAAACATTTGATTGATTGTTCCATGTCATGCAACCCATAAATTACTCCGCTCCAGGCCAACATCTGGTCCAAGCGTAACCCTAAAGGGCTTCCCTGGCCCAGGGTAACCCAGCCCTAGGGTTAGGACTGGCCTAGGGAATCGACCCTAGACCACTTCTAATAACCCTAGTGAGGCCAAGCACCAGCTGGCCGGTGAGCTGTGTGGTTGCGTATACAACGGCGAAGAACAGAGACCAGAAGAAGAGATACGAGGCCTAGGGATGAGTCACATCCTTCTGAATTTCAAAGAGAGGGCAGTGGGGTGTCTGGTCTCGAGATTGGTCCCGAAACTCCACGGCCCCCTTGCTGCACACCCGCTGACGTCTGAAACAAAATGGCGTCGTTGTGTTGGTCAGCGATGATGGGCAAGTGCGATGCGGTTTCTGTCTTGAGACGTGAGCGAGTTGGCGCACGGGGTCGAAAGGACCGGATATCTTGCGTCCGATGTCGCAGCGTGCAGGGCAAGTTTGCGATGCCACAAAAATCGCAATGTGAAGAGTGCTCTGACAAAGGGGGTCCAATTTGGGGCACACATTGAACACGCGCGTTAGAGACGTTCCGATGTGGATGCGACATGGGACGCAGTGTGAGCGGACAGCGAATTCAAAGTGCTGAGAAGCAACACACCTGCGAATCTAGCCCCCTTCCACTCCCCCGGTGCTCTGCCATGCCCCTGAGTGCCCGTGAGGCGGGCCCGTGTCTGATTCTGAGATGCTCAATCAACGCGATGTTTCGAGATGGTGGACAGCGGAAGGTGAGGCGGACAGAGAAAACGGACCTCTGGACCTCTCCCCCATGCACTCTGCCAGCGTTCCTCCCACTAGCCCACTCAACTACCTTACTCCCTCCCTCGGATCGATCTCCTCGGTATTATTTGTTGGCTAGGTAAGGTGCATGCGTGCTGCTGGAGGCGTCCCGTGGGCTCGGTGTCTGGGAACTGGTCCACTGGATGAGCTGGCCTGAAACGCAAACGGAGTTTGATGATATGCTGTGCAGCTTATTGCTGCACCGCAAAATCACCACATGACCGTCACTGGAAACTGGCCGATGCAACAACCAACGGCGCTGACTAGAACCGGACCAGGGTTCGGTTTGTAGATTGAGTTCTGAATTATGTTATCTAACGCATGTTGTATTTCCGAATTTTTGTGTGAAAATCTCCATCTCCAGCCTGGGGATCCTCGACTTGAGAGGCCGGCAGGTTTGATCACTTTGATGGCTGCCTGTCAACTTTCACCATGCTCCCATTTCTCGCTCCCTATTCCCCCACAATGGGTTCTGCCTTGTTTTGTCATGCAATATTCATATTAGGGATCTTTCTGAACATTCTTTCTCAATTGACCAATATAATCCAGGCACTCCCTGCCTCGGGATCCCCAGTGCAGTACCCATCACAAAATTTGATGCGGCGGAGTAAAGATGGCTCCCTTCCACACCAACCCCTGGCTCTAAAAATACGAAACTTGGGATTCGAGACCTTGGATACGATATGTCGAGTCCTAGCCAAAAAAAATGGAGATGTTGTGTAAGTAGGGTTTGGGATCCCCGGTTCATCAAAAACGACCTGGTGAGATGATGCAAAAAAAGTGATCTGATTGTCGGGGGCTGCTACGCAGCCCCCGACCCCCAACCCTGGGATCCAAGTGAAAAATGAATGAAGGGCCTCTAGGGCTTTCATTCAAGCCAGGTTTCAAGAAATTTGGTTGAGAATTGAGCTTGGGATCCCCGATTGCAATGAGATCATTTATTTCAGGGCCAATACCACTAGGTGGTGACTAAGCGCCTGGCACCATAGTACCGGCTAGTTTCCCACAATGTCTTCAGCTCCACCTTACGTACTGATGGAGGACGATATATTTATTTACGCGCGCGAGTCGAGGCTTCCCGACTACTTGATCTCCCCATCCGCCTCACTGTCTGGCTAAGCATGATCTCTCTCTCCTCCTCCTCATCGTCCCTGTCCGACGTGGCTTCTTCGTCCTCTGTCACGCGTTCCTCCAGTCCCGTGATTAAGCGCGACGCGCTCTCGTCCTCGGCCACGTCCATGCTATCTACTTTGCCCTCCTCCAGCAGCCTCTCCTCGGACAGCGCACGCGATTCGATCTGTACCCGAGCGAGCCTATCATCATCTGCTGCGTCATTCGAGTCGGGGTCGGTGGCTAGCATACGCTGCGGAGAGCATCTAGCCATTCTGTTGCCCAAGCGGCTCTGGAAGGTGTGTCTGCCACCGTATATCGCGCCCGCCCGGATCACTCAGACACATCTGCTCCCAGGTTGATTCCGAGTCCACGTACTGCGACTCGCTGCCATGTCGCGTTCCCTTCACTCTGTTCGAGCGCCGACACCACTGTCGCAAGTGCGGAGGCGTCTTCTGCCGCGCATGCACCTCCCAGACCACGCCCCTACTCGACACCGCTGCGCTGCCAGAACCGACTATCCCCGAAGACACCGCTGTCTCCGATCTCGCGTCCCCCGAGAGCCCCGTCGTGCAGTGCCGCGTCTGCATGGACTGCTACAACCAGGTGCTCGGCAGGCGGACGCCCGATGACGAGTACGAGCGGATGCTGTGCGAGCGGCCGCGAAGATCCAGCTCCCTGCTAGCCTCGCCGATTTCCCTGTTCAAAGTCCCTGCATTCGTGACCCAGTCTGCTCCGTCTTCGCCGCCCCAGATCCCGGCAGCACTGCCCTCGGTTCACAGGCGCTCCCTCGCACGGGCAGCCTCCCCGAGACGCCGGACGCGCCTTCCATCCCTGCCCGTGCCGGAGCGGTCGCTTTCTCCCCTGCGGACAGACTCCCTTCCCTGCACTGGGCTTTCCGCATATCCGCTCTCCCTCCCCTCGGCCATCTGCAAGGCCGCAGGTGGAGGACGCTGGGCGCCAGAGCTGTTCGTGTCTGATCCGATGCGGAGGCCGCTTGTGCTGGGCAGCCGGGCTCCCTGGGAGACGCAGTACGAGCAGGCCAAGGAGGAGGAGCGGCAGCGCAGGCGTAGCGTTGTGGTCCATGTGAAGCTCGGCGAGGACGAGATCCGCTATCGTGTCTGGGGCCAAGACCATGCGGACGAGTACGCACCCGAGTCATTTGAACGTCCGCGTCTGGCGCTTGCCACCTTCTGAGCAGCGCTGTGTTGTTTCTCCTTGGCCCTATTGTGGGTTAGATGACCTGGCCAGGAGATGCGTGAAGGACATGCCGCCCGCTTGTCGGGATGTCGTGGTTGTGGGTGCCTCGTTTGGTGGACTGGCCGCTACGGCGATGCTGGGCCCGATGCAAGAGGCTGGAATCCAGGTGCAGGCAGTGGCTCTCATCGACAGTCCGTTCCCGGGATCCACCCCGCAGAGGTCTTGCTAGCTGCAGGTGCATTTGTATGCAACGTGTTCTCTCCGGAGTCGAGGCCCGCCCTCTCCACCGAGGGGCCTACCCTCCTCGATTTCGCGACGTTCGCAGCTCGGCATGGCAGCCATATGCGTACGCCGGCCGGGACCTATGAGAAGAACGTGAAGGCGATGGCCGAATGGTTGCCGTCCGGATCCCACACCACTCCTGCCCTGTATGTTGCTGCGGGAGCGGACGACGTCGACGGGCGCTGGAAGGCGGTATGTTCGAGGATGCCCGTGGAGCGAGTCGAGGGGGAGCATACCGGTGCCTGGATCGGGGACAACGTTGTCAAGGCCGCTCAGTGGATCGGAGACTTGCTCGGTGCCCAGGTGTAGCCACATAAAATGTATCATTCCTTTTGGGGTTTTTTCAGTAAATCATGTTCTCGTATCATAATGTATACCAATTGTTCTTCTCTCATCTTGCGAAACCGCTGATGCCCATGGGCTCGAAAGATTCGTTCAGACTGGAACCCAGATGACAGAGGCGACTTCGCTGGGGAGGGCTGATACAATCGACGCAATATCACTCGGAGCTGATAAGAAAGTCAGCTCCCAGTGTCATGCGAGAAGAACAGAGCAGAAACACACCGGCTGAGATCACTGAGGCAATATCACTCGGCAAAGCCGAAAGAATCGAGGACACATCGGAAGGCAGGGATCCAGCTGCGCTCGAGTCGATCAACGCAACATCACTGGGAGCAGCCAAGAGAACAGAGGCCACATCACTCGAGACTAATCCAGCCGCACTAGAAAGCGCTGACAGAATCGAGGCGACATCAGAAGGAAGGGACCCGACGACGCTCGAGGCGACTGATGGTGTTACGTCGCTGGGCAGTGATCCGACAACACTCGTGACCAACGTGAGCACATCACTGACACCCGGGGCAACACCACGGGGCAGCGATCCTGCAGCGCTGGAAAGAGCCGACAAAATGGAGACAACTTCAGGCGGAAGCGATCCCCGGGCGCTGGACAGAGGGCCGAGGCAGCATCGCTGGGAACGGCAGAGACAACATCACTGGCGACTGCCCCAGCTGCGCTAGAGAGCGAAGACAGGATTGACGCGACGTCTGAACGGAAGCGATCCAGCAGCACTTGAAGCATGCGGGACAGCCATGGTGATAGGAGCCACATCTAGGGAATCCCAGTACTATGTAGAGAACGCTTGAAGCAAAAGCACCTGCTGAAACAATTCGAAACCGCATCGCTAGACAATAGCCCCCAGCGCTAGACAAGGCCGACAGGATGGAGGCAGCATCAGAAGGCAGCGATCCTACAGCGCTGGACAAGACGGACGCAACGTCGCTAGGAGCTGCGGATGCAACATCGCTGGGGACCGCACCAGCCACACTGGACAGAGCAGACAGGATAGAAGCCACATCGGAAGGCAGAGATCCAGCCGCGCTCGAGAGGATGGACGCGACTTCGCTAGGCGTGGCAGAAATGGCAGAGGCCACATCACTAGGGACGGCAGTGACTAGAGAGACGGCATCGCTGGGAACCAAATCGGCGACGCTGGAAAGAGCTGAAACGACGGAAGCCACGTCCGATGGAAGGGACGCCGCAGCATTGGATGCGGCATCGCTGGGGGCAGCCGAGATCACAGACGCGACATCACTCGGGAGGGATCCGGCGGCACTGGACAAGGCCGACAAAATCGAAGCGACATCGCTAGGCAAAGGATCCGCAGCACTCGAGAGGATCGACACGGCAGCAAAGATAATGGAACCCGCATCCGAGGCGAAGGCACTGACAGGAACTGCAAGGAAGATTTGAGCAGCACGCTCACATGACAGCACAGTCAAACTCACCACTCGAAGCAACATCACTGGGCAGAGATCCAGCTGCATTCAACAAGGCTGATAGAACGGAGGCAACGTCGCTGGGAGAGCGCCAAGATCCCTAGACACGACGACGCTCGGAGCAGCGGAGACGAAGGAAGCCAGGTCGCTGGTAGCGGATGCAACAACGCCGCTGAGCACAGATTCTGCACCGCTCGGCACGGATCCGATCGCACTGAAAAGAGCCAAGGCGATGTCGCTGGGTGCACCCGAAGCCACATGACTAGAGACGGCGCCAGCACGATGGACAACGCAGAGATGATGGACGCAACATCAGACATGATCGCGCTGGGAGCTGCAGCGAGATGGTCAGTGCTGAGCGGAACCCCCAACGGGAAGCAGCAAAGCGCACCTGCAGACACAACAGATTCAGCAGCAGCACTCAAGAGGATAGAGGCCACATCGCTGGAAGCCGTAGAGATCACCGAGGCAACGTCGCTGAGAACAGCAGAGACAAGAGGTGACACTGCCGCAGAGAGAATCGTCGCGTCATCAAACGGCAGAAAACCACCAGCACTAGAAAAAACGGACGCAACATCGCTTGGAACGGCGGCCACGATCGAAGCGGCATCACTAGCAACTGAGAAATAACGAGTGTCCAAACACATCATGTGAGAGGAAGCAGGAAGCTGACCAGCTGTGACGACCGAGGCAAATGCACTGGGAACTGAATCGACTGGACGCTGAGGCCTAGAAAAATGGAAGATCAGTAACCTACACGACACCAGATCGAAGTCATCTCACCGTTAGATGTAGTAACACCACTTGGCACTCTGCCAGCTGCAGCACTCGAAAGAGAAGAGAGAAGCGAGGCAACGTTGCTGGGAACGGAGCCAGAAGCACTCGACACGACCGACGAGGCGGCTGCAGGGACAGTGGTTGTCGCCGGCACGAATCCAGCCGCACTCGAGAGCGCAGAGAGGATAGACACAAAATCAGACGGGAGCGAGCCAGCCGCACTCGAGACGGCGGATCCAGGAAGGCTGCTGGGAAGAGCACTCGACGACACTGCGGAAAGGACCGATCCCACCCCGCTGGATTCCGGGCCATCGGCGCTGCTGCCCGTGGAAACTCCACCGGGAAGAATACCCGACATCGCAGACAGAATTGACGCAGCAGCGCTTGGGAGGGATCCAGCCCCGCTCGCGACAGAAGGCAGAATCGGCGGCAGCACTCGAGATGGCGGACAGCGCATTGCTGTTACTGGCCACAGCACCGGCGGCGCTGGATAGCGTTGATGCGGCAGTTGCAGAAGCATGAAACCCACGCTCGTCTAGAGAAGAGGATCAGACAAACGATTCGCACACAATGAAGGCTCGCAATCACGCACCGCTGGCAATCACCGATGCAACTCCACTCGGCAAGGATCCCGCCGCAGCACTGGAGAGCGCTGACAAAATCGACGCGACGTCGGAGGAAAACGGAGCCGGAGATAACCGAAACAACATCACTGGGGACCAACCCAGCTGCACTCAAGAGCGCCAAATGGACGGACGCCACATCAGAGGGAAGAGATCCGGCAGCACTCAAAAGACCCGAAAACACGTCACTGGGAACGGCGGAGACCACTGAAACTACGTCGCTGGGAGTTGAGCCCGCTGTACTGGGCAGAGCAGAGAGGATCGACGCAACATCCAACGGAAGAGATCCAGCCGCACTAGAGACGATCGATGCTAGGACCTCCATCTTGAGCTGAAATGCGATTGAGCAGAGTGGGATGGGGGATAAGAGAAGACTTCATCCACTTGTGATTCGTGCCTTGCTGCAAAATGATGTCGCCCGCGTCCACAGTTTTTGGTCTCTCGCCCCGCTTCGCCAGCGCCAAGGTGATGCGTCCGTGTGTGACGATGGCAAGATCAAAAGTGTTTGTACTACAAGGGTGCTCCAACTACGAGCAGCCGCAGAGCAACGGCGACAGCAGCAACCGGCCACATCCTCATCCCCCGGGCACTCGCATCACACAGTGATCTGGCATGCGGAGACTGAGTCATGCATCCCACGGGTGGACGGAGCTTGTGAAGTACCTTCCAAATCCAAACCCGTAGTGCCCCTCAGTGAGATCGAACACATGCTCCTCGCCAGTCACGAAGTCTGAGCTCAGAAATCGCGATGGATTGAACGTGAATGATTCCGGCAACTCTTTTCGTCGTGATGCTGCGGGAAAGTCGCATTAGAGCCAGAACAACATGGCAGAAAAGTCGCACCATGTTCCAGATGCATGGAATAACCATTGTGCCTTTGCGTATCTAGGCCCCTCACGATCAACTCCGCGGAACGCGAACACAGCACAGACGGAACTCACCCCGAAGCCTTGGTACTCGTCATCTGCATCTGCAACATGTGGGAAGCCGCCAGGCGCTGCAGGCGCCCATCTGACAAGCTCTTTGACGAACGCAGCACAGTACGGAAGTTCTCGGTAAACCGCGAATCCAGGCACGGTGTCTTCGTCGACTGTAGCGTCAATCTCAGCTTGCGCCCTGTTCACAGTTTCAGGGAAGAAGACTGCCATGAGAAACCAGAGGACCGTGCCCGTCGTGCTATCCGTGCCAGCTTCGAATGCAGAGCCTGCGACTGAGCATACACTCCAGACGGTCCACAGGGAAGCAGTGAGATGAAGAGCGCACCGTAAGATAGCGCCTCATCAGAAAGTCTCATCTTTTCCTACTGTTCCCACAGACGGGCAGAGAAGCACTCCGTTCCTAAATCTCGATGCATGCGGACCTTGAGCTCGCCCGAAAAACGGGTATACAGCTGCCGGGATATCAAGATTCTGGACTGCAACGAAAAGAGAACGTGGAGCCTCACCTCGACCTCAAGGTCATGTTTTCTCCGTGCTTCGAATCTATAGGTGCAAGGCAGTCCAGTAGGAGGTCGACGACAGGAAGGCTGTTCCTGCGGTGTGAGCCAGGATAGTTGTCCTTGACGAAGCCCTGAAGAATGGACTGAACAGCATCTAGATCCTTCCCGTCGGACTCAGTGTGAATACGAGGGAGGCGGCAAAACGACCGCAGTGCCTGAACGCGTCGTCGGGCAAGCTCCGATTTGAAGTGCATGCCGAGCGGATTGTTCAGTCCTTCTCGTGGGAAAGTGTCCTGGGATGCTGACTGAGAAGACCGGGGCAGATGAGGCAGCGCAGAGCGCAATAGAAGATAGTCTCAGAAGCAATAAATTCAAGAGCTAGGACGTCGATAAGTAACCTATGAGCGCCCTCGCGCACATTAACGCTCGTATCGAGCGAATGGGGCGGGGATGAGGTGTGTACGGGTCTACTGGAGGCGTTGGGTTGGCTCAGTTTCTGAGGACTGGGTAAGCATTCACCTGTAGTCCCCCCTCTTTGCGTGAAACCTTCCCCACTCGCCCTCGATCCCTGCTGCCCTAGGCCTAGCCTTAGCTCCCCAGCCCATCCACCCCACACCTGTTCGTTGCTGGCCGCGGTTGTCTGGTCAGATGTATGAGCAGAGCGATGATCGCGCAAGCCGATGTGACGGTGGTCACAAGATCGAGCTGGCACATAGGGTCACCGGTGTAAGTTGTAACACAGGGCAGGATATTGAGTTTGCGGACAGTGGACAGCCGAGGAGAGAAAAACCCTCACCTGCGGACCAGCGCTCCACCCCTCCGACCGAAATCCAAGCCCCTCCCCATTCCCACTGGACAAGCGCATGCTCGAGACGTCGTAATCGATTACTACGGGGCAGCATGCAGAGTAAGCGTACAGTTAGAGGTAACCTTTGAGATACGCGCCGTTAGACCTGGCCCCGTCCGCCCTCGCAGTGCTCCGCCCACTTGCCCTTCCGACTCCCCTGCTCCCATGCCCCATGCGCCCAGTTTTGGTCATCGAAACAGTTCCCGAAAGTCGATCGATGGGCTTTGAAGGTGTGCGATCGGCGCAAAATGTGCTGCGTGACGTGAATCGGGCCCGCGTCTGCATCCGAGATGCACGATGAATGTAATCTTTGAGTGTGAATGCAGCGCGATGTGTTGAGACGGCGAACAGCGGGAGGAAGCGCAGACCGCGAGAAAGGCACCTGTGAGCTTGAGCCCCATGCACTCTCGTGCTCCGCCCATTTGTGCATCCAACTCCTGCGCATCGCCCCTCTGGGAGCCGTATCCTCGGTTGCGTTCAACGGTCGCGGTCGTTGAGAGTTGTCGAGGGCATGCAATTGATGCGGTCGAGGTAAGCGGAAAGCGGCGCGGTGTGCGTGATGCCGCAAAGAGCACGATGTGCTGCAGCACATGAGACCGCAAGTTCGAGCCCAAGGAAAAACAAACGCAGACTAGATCCGGCGGCCCTGTGGCACGAGATGTTGGATGGGCGGAGTGGGAGACCGATCGTAAAAAGGACGCACCTGGGTGTCATCCATCCGCATTCTCACTCGACTCGAACCCACATCTAACCGGCTCCCAGGGTTTCCGAACCTCCCAATCCATCGTCCTGGGACTGTGAGTTGGTGGAGGTGCTAGTCGAAGTGCATGGTAAGATGCGATCGTGAGGTCTTGCAGATGACCTGAAGGCAGGTGTGATGTGACGTTACAGAAACAGAGCATTCAGTCGCAGCCATCGTTGACGTCGTTCTCAACAGTAAGAGCTGCAGTAGTGTAGAGAATTCTTGTTGGGTATATTGAGAGTGAATTGAAGACTTCTTCTCATTGAAAAATAGAAAAGAGGCATGGGGACCACATGAACGATGCGGAAAATGATTGGCATGGAAAAGTTGATTGTGACAAGAAAGACGAGTGAATATTTCGGCCTCGAGGCCCCAGAAAAATACGAAATTATCAGGGGAGCTTGAGGGAAGGTGCTAAGACAATCTTAAATTTCGGGGACCAGTTTGTGGAAAGAATTGAGATCGGGGACGGCTCAATCACGGAAAGTGGTCATTTTTGGTCGCACGGAAAACATACCCTTTGATGGATGATCTCCAACGGACAGGAATATGAACAAAAAGTGGTCCCCGGGGATACAAGTCCGACGAGTTTCAACCTCAAAAGTTCTACTTCTTCTTTCGTCGGTGGACGTAGACACAGGAACAAATTTTCTAAATGCAGGCGAGCATGTGTATAAGAGCTTCCGCGTGCTCCCAAACTTTTTTGCTGCTTTTTCAGGCTACGCCGACGCTGTACAGTAAGGGAATGCATTTCAATCGATGGCGCTACGGTGCGGGGATGATGCCATCATGAGATAAACTAGAAACTTGGATGGCATGGCACTTCTGGAGAACAGCAGGCAGATAGGACAAAACAGGAGGATGACGCATGTACAAGGAAAATGCTTCACTATCCCTCCTATCGACACGATTTCGTCTTCCGCAGAAAAAATGGGATGGTCTTCTTGTCCCATGGCTGAAGCCAGTGGCTGCCTTGCTCCTGCGTTCGAGAATTTTCGGCCCTCAGGATCTGGCTAATCCTTATCGCCGCGGCGCTCGACGGCAGTATCTTCTTGGATTGATCTTTGAAGCAAATGTGGGGTATCTCGTTCGGTTTGGCCTCAATCGCTGCTGTTACTAAGGTCTTGTGGGCTGAGAAGCCTGAAACCAGCTGCAGGATTTGTTCCTCGAGGGCTTGGGACGTAAAACTTGCCGGGAAATTCTGGGCCAAGGCTGCGTCGTCGGAGAGAAGCCTCCTATATGTGACAACAGATGCGGACATTGCGACCAAGCATTCCTGGGAGGATTCAGTAGTGTCGAGCTGGTTGGAAGCAAGCTTGCGCACCTCTGTTGCCTGTTGAAAGGAGGAGGGAACCAATTCGGGATCAATGATCGAGCTGTCGCTGTCTACCGGGAGGAATTCGTAATCCCGGCAGATGAGGTGATCCATAGCAGCAATCATTGTCCAAGTTAGCTCGAGCTCAGCATGCTCATCTTTTGTAGCGGTAAACCGTTTAGGACCACCCGGAAGGGCAGATTTCCGAAGCGAATCAAAGCTTCTTGGGCGTAGCGCAAGGCAAATGATGGCAAAGCTGCGAAGTGCCAGAAAATCAAGAACATCCTGGACACGCTCTAGATTGAGAAGATGTCTCTTCATGGAGGCAGAATGCTCGAACGTCCCGTTATGAATGCGTCCTTCGTTTTCGGGGTCAACTGTGGCCAAAGCAATAGACAACATCATGCGCATGAGGTAGCGCATCATGAGTTCATGATCCACGTTCGTTGTTGTCTGGGAAGTGAACACATGGTGCAGCGTCGCAAAGACTTGATTAGAAAGCTGGCCAACTGCCGCGGCGTGTCTCCCCGTTGCGATCGAATTCTCGATGGTTAAGACGCAGTGCATTGTCCCGGATGGCATGTAGCTGAGTTTCTGTCGTCAGCGAATGACTTGAAGCCAACTTGGAAGCGCTCACAACGTCGTGTTCTCCGCCAAGCATACCATCTCCCAGTGATACGTCCTTTTCATGCTTGACCAGCTGTCGAAGGACTCCAGCGCCCGCCGTGATCTCATGTTTCCGTGGAAATTCTCAGCGCTGGGCAACAAGCTACCCACGAACCAGAGCTTTTTACCGCAGGCTACTTGCACCGCAGTCAGGCCTAGGGCATCGTTGTGGACGGATGTCCAAACATCTTTCAAGCCGAAAATGGTCCACGTGAAATGGTCCCAGCTCATCGGAAAGCTAGGCACCTTTGAGAGGCCAACTAGCCATTCGCTCAGTTCCTCGTGGCTGGCAAGATTACTGCCAACGACTGTAAGTGCCGGAAAAACGAGGGGTCATTCCTTACCTCCAACACATCGGCGCCGGCATAGTCTTGCTCCCTACCGGATTGTGCAGGAAATTCAGTCGCTGAACCTGATCGCTAGATTCGCCTTCGACCGCTTGTGAGGCAGCGCTGATCACAAGATCGATAGGCCGCCCGACTTTGAAATATTCCTCGCCGGACGTTTCGCTCATATCAGCATCGTCGGCCTCATTGTCGATGTCCATCGCCATACTGCTTGGCCGACTTCTCTCAGCGCGCAGATCCTTCAGCAGTCCAAGCTCTACCGCAGCCTTCAGCTATAGTGAAAGAGCTGAGCGGCTGGCCACACCTTGCACCCGATCCCATCGATATAAGTTCGTGAAACACCCAACGCCGTCGCGGTCAAACTTCAACGACTTCCCGTCGAGCCTGAAACCATGGCTCATCACAACGAGAACCGCTCGGCACCGGAGAGCAGATTGTTGTTGGGGTCCCGTCAAACCATTCCACTCCGGCTCCGAGACAACAAATACGGCGGATTGCTCCGCGCTTGGTTCGATGTCTGAAAGCCAAGCCTCTTCTTCTTTGCTTTTGGCCCGCCAGTCGGGATCTGAATGATATCTTTGGGCGGAGGGATGCACATGAAGTGGAAGTCCGTCCAATGACAAGGCCGAATTTGCAGTGTCCCTCAGAACATCCGCATGTCTAGTCTGCGGCAGGCTTGATTAAGGGTGGGAAGCAAATTTTCATGGCTTACCGAATCCTTGAGGGCTCTCCACCTGTAGTTCCTTTTGACGGCCACGATCTTTCCCCCGTCATCTAAGCTCAGTTCGTGGTAGGCGATGTCAACGGCGTCAACTGGATCCAGTGACACACTGTAGCGCTTGTGGGGGTCGATACGGTTCTCCAGGATCATTGCGTCAGCATCAGACAGCTTTGCACGATGCTGCGGATCAATTCTGGAGTCGACTACACCTATCCAAGCATTTGCGTCCCGCAAGCTGTCGATGAGGGTCGATGAGGTGGATTTCTTGGGGCTGCCACCTCCGACAGAGTATAGACGTGGATCGGTCTCGCCTCTCGATCGGCGTTGGCTTCCGGTGAGGCCGACAGACGGTTCAGATGTCACTTTCGCTTTTTTGACAGGACGGTCATTCTCATCTCGACCGTCTGTCCTGTGTTCCTTTGCATCATTGCTCCTCTCCTCTTCCTCCAGACGCATCCCCTCATCCTCGACACGTGGAAACTCGACAGAGGAAGCACCCGTATCAGTCAGTGGTAGCTCATTTCCATGAGGGACACCCAATGCAGAAACCGACTGCGAAATCTCGGTACTGGGAACGGCAGATGGCTGCCCTTTGCGCTTGAGAGTAGGTCCCGATTCTGGGGGTCCGGACTCGGACGGTGGGTCTGGTGTGAGAAGAGAATGATCCTTCGCAGCCTGACGGCTCCTGCCCGTATCTTGAATCGATTCAACCTCAATTTCCGCCCGCTCCTTGCCAGACCTCTCAGAAGGAAGCTGCCGATCTTCTGACAAATCCCCTCTACCCGCGGCTGACTCGTCGCCACCTGCCTCGGTCTGCCCTGTGGGGGCTGGCTGCTGATCTTCCGACGAATCCTTCCTACTCGGGACCGACTCGTTACCACCTGCCTCAATCTCCTGATCCTGCGAAACCGGCTCGGCTGAAAGCAAGTGATCTTCATCCATCTCTGCCTTCCCCAATGCGATCAGTGAGTCCAGTTGGATGGGTTTCGGGTCATCACAGAGTGCTAGAACCGACTTGAATTGCCTGACGGCGGGCGAGCACACTGGAGGCACGCACCTAGCGCTGCAAGAATCTGATTGCTCGGTCGACTTTCGAGTATGGCGGTCACCTCTTGATCTGACCAAAACGCATCCGGGATCTCGCTTTCTGGCTTCAAACCCAGCGCGCCGAGGAGCAGGAGCTTCCACATGACGCGGTCCAAAACACGCACGGGATGATTTGGATCCGCCCAGGGAAGGTTTCCTCGGCAAAACCATAGCCTGATGAAGGCACCGGGAGACTTTCCCATAATGTTGTAGGGAGCGAGGCAGGAGAACGAACCGTGCGTCATGACAAAGAGGAAAGGCGTGGCAATATCGACCATGCGAGTGGTCTGCATTCTGGCCAGCACATCATGCGTGTTGAGAGCTGGGGAGGATGTTCCGTGATCCCTAGGTCGATTAGCGCAGCCATTACACATGAGAACTTGTGTAATACGCACTCTAGGACTCGTTTTTTCAGCGTTTCGTTCTTCAACGTTGGATCGCCCTGCAGATGTCAGTGATTGGATCAAACAAACAAAGCACCGTTCTAGCTTACCATCAGCATCAACTTGATAATATAGCAGATGGACCGAATATTGATGAGAACCGCGTTGGCGTCATTCCTCCTCCCTTCGGTTAGAATCTCCCGACACACCGATACATCGGATTGGGATGTGCCCTGTTCGACCGCTCGTTTTTGCTTCTGCATCAATCGGTCTCGGCGGTTCTTCCAGGATAAGAGGCATGTCTGCCAATCCGCCATACTGAGGTAATCCGAGGTCTGGCTCACGGATAAGTTACGTTCAGTGCGACGAAGTCTTACGTACGTTCGAGAAATTCTTGATGTGCCCGCTTGAGCGGGGTTGCACGAGGGAACGGAATCGGAGGGGTTGGGCTAGGAAGGCGAGTCGGTCTGCAAGCAGAACTGGCACAATCAGCTCGACCAGACACGCGGTAACCTTGGCTTTCATGTTGTGGGGCTCGGCATTCAAAGCGCGGTATCCGAGAAAGTGCAGTGTCTCCGACTGACCGGGGAGATCTCCTTGCAGCTTGATCGCAGCATGCATCTCTAATCGTCGGCTGAAAATCTCAGTCTCAGCGAAAAAGCGAGTGAATTGGCTTGTTAGGTGTGATAGAGGCGGTTTGATGTCGAGGAATTTGAGCATGGAGTGCGAGGCATGGGCAATGTCATCTGGAGACCGGAACCCATCGTGGTGCAGAGGTCCCTTGGTGTGGATGAAGTGCTGCTGCATCTGATGGAACAATGACGGGAAGAAGAAGCAAGGGGTGACAGACCAAACATGGCGCGCTACAAGGATCACGTGGCTTTGTCAGCGAGCGTCAAGAGGCCGTTTCACGTGCCCACGACGACCACATTGGGTCGATCGGAGTGATTTGACAGGCGCTTCGGAGGCCTGCGATGCCGCACACAGATATTGTAGCCAATTGAATTCATTCTGACTCTGTGTGACGAAGACATAGGTCGGATTTAAGGCCCCAGGCTCACCTCCTCGAATAGCAGAGAGCTGATCGCGTGGCCCACACTGTGGACGAACTTGTTGTATTTCTGTGCATCATGCAAGCACTTCTTTGAGATACTGCCATAGCGCTCATGGTAACGATAGTACATATCAGGAATGGCCGGCGGGTGGGCTGATACACGTGACCCTGCGACAGCTGAAAGATAAATATTTAACAAGCCAGCTCGCTGAGACCATTTCACGTAACCGACAACAGGACGAGAATTGCCAAGGCCACCCAACGCGTGCTTCAAGCTGGATTCCGCAGTCATTCCATATCCCAACGTCTCTCAGCATATATTTGCGAAATCCCTTTCATATGGTGCACCAGTCCGCTGCAGCTCCAGGGTTATAATCTATTATCCTCATGATGAGCTTGTGCAGACGCACATCCAGTGCAACCTGAGGAGGAGCGGCTTGTGGACAACGCCGATACGGCGGCACATAACACCCTGTTGATATCCTCGAGATCGCCCACGCAACAACAGCCGGTGGACCGAGGATGCACACCGAGGCCATGGATCTCCCAACGGACCGGTCGGCCAAACAGTACGACGCAGCCATGGAACAGCAGCGGCCACTGGTCGAGATGGGTGTGTTAGAGGTGGAACTGCCGGGGAACCGATGCGCAATCGGGAACCAGTGGGTTTGCGTGTGAAGCTGAGCGGTGACGAATCTGTCGGAGGGCACACAACACGGCTAGTCGCCAAGAACATTCGGGCGAGGCATCCCTGGCTAAAAAGTTCCACCTAAACGACCGATGGGATGAGCGCGTAGTCCTAGGGATGAATCTAGGATCGATGCTAACGATCCTCGACCCAAACCGACCCGGCCGTTGAGAGTCCTCGTTCTGTGCAGGATCATAGGTGGCCGTTCTGCTGGAAGCAAAGGATTGGATCCCCCTTGGTCATCGAGCCAATGCGGTATATCCTGGGTCCCGACGCCATGCTGAATTTCGCCGAAATGAAGGGGGGAAGGGATGCGTGATGATCGGAAATATCACGTGCAACCACCTCGGTGAGTTCGCTGACAAATCCGCTGAGATCTTTCAGTGCACGTGATGGATTGATTTCAGGGCTAGGGTGCATCACCGCTCGTCAGTATGTGTCCGCCGGAAAAAATGTGCGCATCAATCCGTGTTTTGTCTAGAAGTTGCGTGTGACGGTTGATTTCAGGGTAGACAGCGAACACTGCGCGCGCGCACCTTCTTTATGAGCCTGTTGTGCTTGTATGTCCCTAGTCCGTTGGACTGCGTGGTGAAGTATGGGAGTGCGCGGCAATGGCTCAGCGGGCTGCAATTGACAGCCAAAGAACGAAGCTGCTCGTTGTTGGGGTGAGACTTTTTGTGGATGCCCCGGCTGTTGCTCTGTTCGTCAATTTCGCGATACACCTGCAGACCAGTTTTGACAATGGATGAGTGAGCCACAGGCTGCTAAGCGTACCAGAAAATTCCCGACGATGCGCGGCGGCGACAATGACAGCCCGTCTGCTGCAGTGGTGAGTTCAGAGGCAGCAGTGGATGCATGTGTCGGACACACACCTGTCCATCGTTTGATCCCACTTTCCTCGACGCTGAAGACGAACCCAGCCCCACTGTCAATCATCGTACGTCGCTCATCGTTGTTGGGCCGCCGCGTAACTCTGGGAATGATGCCCAGTCGAGCGGCGTGGATGAGATGGAGCGCATTCAACGTTGTTTTGACCGCGTCAAAGAATGGCGTGCCGTCCGTAGATTGGGACGAGCTCATAGTGACGCAGCCAAGTTTGACGTTGTCGGACGCTCGTCGTTGAGACAGAGACAGAAATTTTATGTATCTGATCTTCCGTTCTTTCTGCGAGTGAGAAGCGCACGTTGGCAAGCACCTTTCACATACTTGACCGATCTCCTCTATGAATGCCATGAAAATTACCATGTCCTTCTGCACCTCTGGGATATGACGGCAAACATGGGACATTGATGGGCCCGGTTCCACATGGGTGGACGGCAGGTCAAGGCGCTGAGAACGCATGACAGCGACAGCAGAGGCGCTGGGAGATATCGTTTCTATATTGGGCACATTACTGTGCCTCTGCTCCACTCTAGTTTGTAAGCCTGACCCTCCCCTCGTCGTTGATTCTAATGCATCCGAGAGCAAGGTAGAGAGAGACCGAGGAGATACTTACGCCGTCGAATTTCAGGTTGCATCGACATTGTCTCCGAGATCCCACCCAGAAAAGGGGCCTACAGAATTCGCCGCGGGACCCCTGAAAAATCGAAGTCCCGCTCTCGACGACGGCAGAACTTTTCAATGTTCTGTAAACCTTAGCATAGAGTCTGATACAGTAAAAAGATATCCCAATTAGTTGCATCACTCGTAGTGTTGACATTGTTGAGGACAACGAGGTCGAAGAATTGGGTCCCGCGGGACTCTACTTAAAGCGGGACTAAACCCAGCGGGACTCCAGCGGGAATGGAAAATGACCCCGCGGGACTCCAGCGGGAGTGCTTAACCGGTGTGCGGGACTCCAGCGGAGGTCGAACAGGTCCCGCGGGACTCCAGCGATGGTCCCACTTGACCCCGCGGGACTCCAGCAGTCGTCTCACATGCCCCGCAGAACTTCAGCGGAGGTCCAGCGGGCGTGCACACCGCGGAATCCTGTGCTCACCGACACAATCCGGCAGTGATGCTCTATAACATCACCGCTGCACACCGCCGTCCCCATCGTCGTCTTACATCAACGTTACAGCCGCCTCATCAGCATCGTGCTCGTCGCATCGCACATCAAACTTCACAGCCACATCATGATCCTGCTCATCGTTCGCAACGACGACAACGAATATATTGAAAAATAAGAGTTCTATGTCATTGGTTAGTGTGAAAGCTAGGAACTAGTAAAACTCGTCTTTGAATGATTAATGTATTAGAGACCGCTCCTTGAATGGGAAAATTCATTCTAAGTAAACCTCAACCTAGTATCTATCGGCACCCATTTACAAGCTTAACACATCGGGGACGCCGGCCTGAGGACCGCGCCGAAAAATCTAAAAAAATGCGCAAATCGTGGCTAGGGGTCCCAGGTAGGATAGCGCACACCGGCGTCCCCTTTCCAGGCAATGGTGCGTATCCCATATTGAATTCCGCGGAGGGTCTCAAAACGATCACTTCCCATCAGCACTTTTGATGGGATGGGGACGCAGAGGGTTGTTTACACAACATTCCGGTTTTTATTACATGGGTCGTTAGCTGCATACCCGAGGATGTAGGATCCCGAATTTTACATTTTTATCTTCAGCGGTTCTTGTGGAATTGCACAATCTCTTCGCGCAGCCATCACTTGCAGCCATCAGTTCAACATATGGGGACGCAAGGGGTCTGTGGTCTATCTGAAACAGCCGGAAGTTCAGGAAGCATTTTATAATACATATAGCACACTCAAAATAATATATATACTGCGTTGTGGAAGGTAGGAGACGAGACAATCTCGTCAAACATCTCTCGAGTCACGCCTTGTGACAGCAGTCACATCACTTACTTAAGTCCAAGCTGCTTGCCACGTCATTCCACGTGACGTTCAGCATCTGCCTTGCATATACTCAGTGCCTTCTGCGTCATTCCTCCCTGCTTGCCCGGGATGCAGAGCGACGCGTGCTGGTTCAAAGACTCGACCATGAGACTTAACCAGCACATGGCTACTGTAGCCCCGGGCTCCGCAATTTCACTTTCTCCTTCATTCTCCCTACTGGACGAGCTCAATGATGTCTGCCATCCTGACATATCGCGCCGCAATTGGGCTTTCATTGTGCATCTTGGAGTCGGGCACATCCGGGCCTCACGTACACTGAGTGACCTTTGAGGAGTTATCAGGCCGCACAACTGTGTGTGCTCTCCTCTCCGTTGCACGGATTGCACACCCTCGACCAGGCGACTCGCCAGGAACGGCTTCTCGTGACCGGACCAACGAACTAAACCGGGGAGAGGGATCGCGGGGGCACAGGGGCATGGCAGTCGGATAGGCGCAGGCAGAGTGGATGGGGCAAGACCAAGGGTGCGTTTCTCAGCACCTCGCTCTCTCACTGTCCCCTCACCCTATGTCCCGCGCCGCATCCGCAGTGGAATGTCACTAACACGCGCTCAACCTGCGCCCGGACATCGGAGGTTCTGCGTCACCTCACGCAACGAATCATGATTTTTGCGGCGCCGTGAACCCTCGCTGCATGCTGACATCAGACACGGCACGTCGCCGTTTGACCTTATGTGCCAAACTGCTCACATCACAGGACTCAACCCGCACCGCCCTTGTGCATCTTTGCTGGCCAATACAACGCACACTGTTTTCTTTTGGACGTTACCAGCATGTGCGGCAAGGGGGCAGTGGAGTTTCGGAGCCAATCTCAGGACAACACCCAACCGCCCACGGTTCTCTGTTCGACACTAACTAGATTGGGTCTCGTGTGCCCCAAAATCCGACGCTCTGCGTCACCTCACTCACTGGCAACAAATCGTGATTTTGCGCATCGCAGACGGCGCAGCGGTCCACTTTTCCCTCTGCCTCGCATCCACCGCAAAACTCAAATGGCCATGCTTAACGCCCAGCAAACACAATCAGAGGTTGTATTGGGGAGATCGGAAGGCAGAGGAGATGTATGGAGGATAGAGCACTCTGAGAACGTGCATGGGAGCAAGTCTGCAGGTGAGCTCGTTTCACCGGTTACGTTTTACTGTCCGCTGCATCGAGGTTTCAATCTCATTGCGTTTTGAAGGTCCGAAGCACAAGTCGCGCCTCCTCCACCTCTGCCTCCACCTCCGCCTCCACCGCCTGCGCTGCCTAAAACAACTGCACCCCCGGTAAAGACGATCACGATCGTTAAGGCGCCCTCGCCGCTCAGCGGCACCGCCTCCCCCACCCAAGACAACCGCACCGCCTCCCCCACCGCCAGCGACGACCACTTTTCAGTCCTTGCCACCGCCCCCCCAGACAAGCACCACTTCATTGCAGCCACCGAAGACGACGAGTACCCCTTTTTCAGGAGACATACAGTACAGTACATCCTCGTATCCTACCACTTATGGACTTTGCCTTAATTTGCTTGCTATCGAAATCCTACTCGAAACAGAATCGTTTGGATAAGTTCTGCAAATCAAACTAGTCCTACCTACAGTACTACCCACGGGCCACCAATGTCTGCTACCGTGGGCTTGGGTTTGGACGGGATTGTCGACGCTCGTTGTCGTGCTTGCGTGTCTCGCGCGCCTCCCCCTCCCTCTCTCCATCACCGCGCGCACCAAGATCTTCCGGCCGTTCCTGACGCTCAAAGAGGCCGAGGCCATCGTTTCGTGCGAGGAGCGTAGGGACACGCACGAGGAGGAAAGCATAGGCGAACACGACGAAACCAAGTCGCACGCGGCGAGTGGTCCACGCGCTTGGGTGCTGGCCGCGGGCGGGCTTACACAGGCCGTCGCGTGGACATTCGCCTCCATCTTGTCGCTGCTCCCCGCGCGCGCCCCGGACGTGTCGCCGCTCTCTACTGCGCCTAGGCCTAGCACGGCAGCAAAGTTGTCCGCGAGGAAGTGCATCCGGCCGAATCCAGGCGCGAGTGCGCTGGCGCGAGGATGAGCAAACGGAAATAAGGGACGGAGAGGAACAGAGTCGCGCACAGTACTTGCGATCTGACGTCCACAAATTCAGGACCAAGATCGTCGAGCAAGAGACCGAGGACAACTGCGGATTCGCATGATTGGTATGCAAATCTGAGTCGGAGCAAGGGCACTTACCTTGGGAGATGACCGACAGTCACCTCAGAGAGCAAGGGGGAAATGTTCACTAGGGCGTCCTTGCGCTGTGCCAAAGACTCTGTAAAGCCGGAAGTCAGTGAGCTGGGTAGCAGTGTGCGGGGCTTTGCGTTGCTCACTCCTCGCGCGACATCTGCAAATATGTCCGATAGCTCTTAACAATCACCGGCGTGAATCCGGGGTTGAGGGCGGCTCACATATGCTTATGGGCCTCTGCTGCGAGACGAAGAATAAGAGTCCGCACGAGAATCAGCGCACAGGCGCGTGTGTGAGGGGCTTACCTCTTGAGACAGACACATTGTCGTCTCTGTATAGGGCTCTGTCCAGCGCCATCAACATAGGCGTGAACTGCACATTGTCGCTGGGTTTAGGGTTAGGCCGGTCTCTGATCAATCAGACTTTACTTACATCTCATGCAGATTTATTCAAGCTAGACAGCCTTTACACACGATAATATAGATAAGAATGTTTCAATGGCAGTAGAAATTTATTTGCACAAGAGGTCAGTGAAGTACGCTATTTACTTTGCACCCAAGTCTGCCGGCCTTGTCTTCATTTTAGGAAACAGTTCAAATCCCTCTTTAACCCTATTCTCCAAACCTGCCTTGTACTCTGCCGCCTCTGACTTGGAGAGGTGCTTCACTGCCCGACACCCAAGATCCACATACTGGAAAATCGACGCGCCAGTCCATGCAACAATGGATCCGCGCATCCCTTTGGAGATCAGGGCTGAGTTGTAATGTGTGTAGAGAGCTGATGGAAAGAAGATGGGTGTGCCCGCTGCCACCTGGAACGTGTACCCCAGTTCGACAACGTGTAGTTTGCAGTCTAGCGCTGGATCGAAGTCACCAAAGGGAATAACAACGCAGAGGCCTGGTGCGAGATTTTGCATGTCGATGTGCTTCACTGTAACAACTCCGGTCTCGCTGATGTTGATACAGAATGACGCAAATGGGGAAAAACAGGCGTCCAGCTCGGGGTGCATCTTTTTGATGTCAGCCATTGCATCGGCGTACCGTTTGTAGAGCTTGGGGAACTCAGCCTTAAAGATCCCTGAATTAAGTCAGATCCATTGCGAATGAATGTCAAGAGTGTTCGTACCTTCGACATATCTCATGAGTGGCTTGAGAACATTGGTCAAGCGATCATAGAGGTCCCGATTCTCCTCAATATCTTTTGAGAACCGGGGCAGCTGGGGGACAAATGGGTCAATGTCAAAGGGGCAATGTCACGGCGGGCAACTGGGCTCACCGCGGTTGATCCCCGGTGCAGCGAGAAGTAGTACGTCTTGAAATTCCCGCGGCTTTGCGTATTGTTGAATGTTGGCTTCATCCCATCCCCTTGAACTAGACGGGCAGCTTCATGGCAGGCGTGAAGGACGTCAGCGCGCTGGCACCGGTTAGCGCGATGAACAGTCTTGCGCCCCTCGGCGTCAAAGACGGAAACGGCGGCACTATAGGGTGATGATAAACATTGCGCTGAGCAGGCCGCTGGTCGAACGCACCCATCACCCATTGGGATCTCGATCATCCCCTCCTCAGGCGGCTGCCCGCTGACCCGATTACCTGCGTATCCACGAGCTCCTTTTGCTCGCTGCCCCGTGCTCTGCCGGGCCTTGTACTCCCGCTTCTCCTTCTCGCGCCGCTCATGAAATCTCTGCTGGCGGAGCCGCTGCCGCTGCTGACGGCGAGTGGAGTGAGGGGGATCCCGGGCAGCAGTCGATCCCAAATGCGGAGCGTCAAGCGCGCCATCGCCAGCGGTGTCAGAGTCCGTGAAATCGTCCAAGGTGTTGGTGTGCGCATGCGGGGCATCACATGTGTGGGCGGCAGCTGGGTCCTCGTTGATGCTAATGGTGGCAGGAGAATGTGACAGAGAATCATAGTTGGGGGGGAGACCAGCGAGTCGAGCGGAGCGGCGGATTACAGGAGCGTAGCCCTCTTCAGTATGATCCCCATCCTCGGCGAAGGTGATGAGGGAGTGATTGCCATGCGCTCGCAGCCACATCGAGCTGTGAGAGGAAAACATTGTCATTTTGGGATGCTGGCTCACCGGCGTTGGCAGCCCCTTATATCCCATTTCCGCATGCTGGCTCGGCTCCGGTGTGTCGGGCCATAGAAGTCCGCATATACCAGTCAGCACAATGGCTGGATGGTAATGAGTGCAGAATGCGGGGCGATCTCATTGTCCATTGACGTTGACATGTGGCTGTGAATGTCATTGTCTGGCATGACAGCTTATGTCCCGCTCTTTACTACGCCACGTCGTACTTCTAGTATCATTGTCTATCGCGAGTCCGCGACCGTATATGTACCGCTCCCTATGCTACGCCGAGTCGTATTTCCGCCGCCCGTTCTTGTCTCTCCCCTCTGCTTTACCCGCGCCTCGTGCACATGCTGCCACTGTCGCTGTACCCTCGAGTGGCGACTAAGGCCCGGCCTGTGGGTTTTCGCCAGAGCGCGCCCAAACCCTTCACCCACCGCCCAGTCTGCGCCCTCTGCGTCACCGCATTGCCACCGTGTTTTGCAAGCTCGCGATCGACGCTGCAGACGCGTGGGATCAGCCAGCGCTACAGCCACCATCTTTTTGTGAGTTCGCGATCGATGGTGGCTGCAGCGCGGTGATCGGACCGGCCGCCACCTTTTGAAATTGCCCATTCCCGGATGTTTTGTGGGCTCGAGATTCGCAGGCCCCAGGCAACTTCCCGGGCCCACCAGCCACTAGCCTCTTCCTACGATGGAGCGTGGTGAAGGGCTCGGAAACCGGCACAGTCCCTACCCCCTGCGCATTCGAAAGAGGTCCGCCCGCGATCAGACCGAACACTCTCGCAAAGGTGGGGCTCTATACCTACACCCCGAGCTGCCCCTCACCCTGTTCCAGCACGCCTTTTTGACCTCCTTGGTAACGCGCCGCAGATGCTGAGTCAGCTCGAGTGGCATGAGATCGGTGAGCAGGTGCGCCAGCCCCAATTCTCTTCTGACCCGGTTTTCAGTCGAGATCGTCGCCCAAGCCGTGGTGCCCACCCTCCCTGCCGCGGGTTGCTCTCGGATGAATTGGGTGCTACCCTTCTTTGAAGTCTCCGAGTATGCAAAAGACACAACGAGCAGAATCATGAATGCCTGCTGACGCTTCTGCTCGCGCGTGCGTCAGGTGCGCAGCCGGTCGGTATCTCAAGCACAATCTGCTTACCACGCGTAGTGGCTCCGACTCCGACTCCAGTGCTTCCAATGTTAATCTTTGCGTGAGTCGCCTTGATGAGATTCGCATTTGTTAAACGTGACCGCTCTAAAATTCTTGAGAATGAGAGACAACATAGACGGAGATGAGTGAGCATACCCGGCTGAGAGTAATGCTTACGGATAGCATCAACTGCGCCCGGAACCTCCGCAACGTCATCGGGAATGGCATCCGGGCCTAGAGTATCAAGGTCAGCAACAGAAAGGTTCATTGTCAGATGTATGCATACTGAATAGCTTGCAGCACAGGGCGCAGAGCGCCTCGCGCAGCTGTCCGAAAACAAGGGAACAGTTCATGCATTGTGGCTTTTCCTTCAGCAGTCTAGGTCAGAATCAAAGAGACGAATCATCTTCGATCTCACGTGGAGTAATATTCGATCTGGCCCCGTTTTAAGCTGCAGCTGAGTGCACTTGCTACAGTCTGCGCCGGGTGGCTGGAGACCAGGGAAGACCAAGCCGCACTCCTTGCATTGAGGCATGGGGAAGAGACGAAAATGCGGGCACGACAAAATTATATCTCCCAGACTATGTCCTGCCTACCACATAATATCTGATGCACTCCAAAAAGTGCCGTGTTTCAGAGCTAAGGTGTATGTCTGTTACTAAGTATCCTGACAGAGAGGGGGTGCAGCGCAGACATGAATATCACACCAGATATGCTCGTACACAGACACGCAGGGCGGACGCGCTACCAGTAGTCAGTGGCGGCCATCGGACGATAATGTGGGCCAGTGTTCGGGGATGGCCGCCACTGGGCGATTACAAATCCAGTAGATGCAGCTCGTCGGCACGCCCCAGCTCAACGCGCACGCCGGCGTAGGCGATTACTTCGCCGGTGAACAGGGCGGCCAGGGCGCGTAGGAAGGCGGTGGGAGACATCCACAGGGCAGAGGCGGTGCGTGTGAGTGCCATGATGGGGGCCCAAAACACGAGCAGTCGAGGGAGGGCCCGGCAGCCGAGGTGGCGCGTGCGTGTGCCATGATGGGGGTACGGGTACCGAGGTGCGAGCAGAGGGATTTGTCAGCGCCTGCGCAGGTGCCAGGGTGCAAGTCGTGGGCAACCTTGGTGCAAAGGCTCGGGGCTGGAGAGGCGGGGGTGAATGGGCATTGGATGGACGAGGGAGCCAAGGGTGACGAAAGGGCGGCAGGTATGCCGCAGAGCGCGCAAAGCGCGGACACGCTGATGACGACGTTTCCGCCCAGGAGCCGGGGCGACGGCACGCGCTCCATCGCAGCCAGGCCCATTGCCCGGAGATAAGCTTCTGGAGCTTTCGAAGGCGGGTAAGGGGTGCGTTGGCGGACGGCGATCGCGAAACGCTGCGGGCGTCACGCGGGTAGGAAAGCGAGTGCTGCTAGGGTGATGGATGGGGTGATTACAAAAACGTGTGCTGCGAGGCCTTCATCCACTGTGGTCTGTCGCGAACTCACGGACAGACGGCGCCGTGACGCTGTGCTTTGCACCGAGGCAGGTGGTGGGCAGCCCCGACAGTGAGGGCTATGGCAGGGGTGACGGGGCGCCCGACGTTGTCCATCGCGAACTCACAGATGGACGACGGCTACACCCCGCCGCCTGGCCGTGCTCCCCACCCATGCTGAATTAAGCCGCAGAGTGACGCTTCGTGAGAACGATGACGGGCGGTTGGGGACAAGAAAACAGAAACGATGGCAGGCACAGCCACCTGCCAACGTCCTGGGCAACAAGCTCGGTGCATCACACTGCGACCGTACCAATCAACCGAGACCCCAATGCCTGGATCATGATCGCACTTACCAAAACAATCCATGTCCCATCCGGTCAACGTTAGACATGGCACAGCGATCAAGGTGTGTGATCAATACTGACCAAACACACCCAACATATGAGCGGTGGGGAAGGGGGTCTGGCTGCCACGGGGTGGGAATACGGCTAGGGCTTGCAGGCCTGCTCTAAGCTAGAGGGTTTACTGAAGAATGGGCATGCTTCTAATGACCGGTTGTTCTATAGAATAGGGCCACTATCTAGTGTCTGTCGTGCGTAAGCACGGCTAGAAGTTCCGTGCTTTACAACATGAGGGAAATCACAAGACTTTGATGATCACTCTTCCATAATTGTGGCGCTCACGCACAATGGTACCGTCATCCCTAAGGGTCGTGGTCTATCTTGGCGATGCTCTAGCTAACGCCTCTCATGTCGTCTTTGTACACTGCGCAGCTTCGACTGTATTTCCTCGTCGTAGATGGTGGCATTAGTGGCCTGGCATGCGCTTACGCCCTGGCGACTGCTGGGCACGACGTAACTCTAATCAAAATCCAGATCCAATCGTACATGTCATGCTGAGAGCGTGGACGGAAGTTGAGTGACATTTCTCCCACAGCAGTCATGGGCTCGTTCTGGTCAGGATCTAGAAATCATCTGTGCTCCGTCGGACAGCGGATTTAGGGTCGCTACCAAGGGTTTTCGGCATGTTCGGCTCCCGTGGACGAGGAGAGAAGCTGTTTGCGCCATGAACTCTGTTGTGGTGGCGGGTGGTTGAAACGCGAATTTGGCAACCTCTGACAGAACTTAGAAACTGGAATAACACCGAATTGATAGACTTGAATGACTCCATTTCCTTCCCCCTACCCTCGTTGTCTGCCACTTGTTCGCATTCGTGAAACATCTGCATTTATAAGAAGAGAACATCAGAACAAATTCTGGATACGTCAAGGGCATAACAGATCATGAGGATTACGGCAGGGCCAGGAACGAAACGGGGTCTACAATATCCCACACCCCGACGTGAGCAAAGGCAGGCAGAATATGAGCAGTGATCAACCAGATCTGACGCACACCTCCCCATCAGCACATATGAGGAGATCGAGTCGGGAGATGACACGTACATTGTACCACCAGTACGACGCACAGTCAGCTTCAACGGAATGGTCCTGGATGAACCCCAGCGCGGCCTTGAGACCGAGGAGACCGAGGTAAAGCGTGACGAGCGCAGGCGGGGCCCACAACCAAATTAGAGCTGCCGTCCAAGCCGCGAGCAGAAGCGCAAGCGACCACCGACCTACGCGGGGCGACAGAATCATGGGGAGAGTCACCCTTCCGATTGCAGCGTCGCCTTCGCGGTCCCGAAAGTCCTGAGCATGCCCGGTCGTGGTGTGAAGCAGGCCACTGATGACAATCGCTGTGGTTGAGAGCGTCGAGAGTGGAGCGCCGTGGTCTAGAATGGAGAATGAGAGGAGAGATCTGAGAAACACGGAACATCGGGATGACACACCGAACAAGACGGTGGTTCCCCAGCAGTAGCACACGTAGCCGATAGATCCCAGGAACGACTTCCAGAACCAGTTGCGCGACATGGCGAGTTCATTGTAGCAGAAGATGGCGACCAGATATAGGACAGTGCACGGGAGGAGACCGAACTGCGCGCTGAACACGGTCGAGACGAGTGCGATGACCCAGTAGAGGTCTTGCGCTGCCCCAACAGATATGCGGCCGGCCACGATCGGACGACTGGGCTTGGAGAGACGATCCTCCTCCAGACCGGTGATCTGAAAATGGGGGCTAGGCGAAAAAAACCCTCAAAAAAACGGACGAACCTGATTTTTTATCTGGGGCGGTCGTCAGCGAGAACGCAAAAAGAACGTGCCCTCCAACTTGCCTCAAAAGTGAGGAGATGTAGCTCGAGCCAGACGAAGCCCCGTAGGAACGCCCAGAGATCGGTGGGGCCCGCCAGGACTAAAGCGACCGCCAACTTCGTGGGCAGTCAGTCGATGCGGATGGAAATGGACCTAGCAGCACAAACCGACGGCCCGAGGATGGGAACCACATCAGACTGGCTGAAAAGAGACACGGTCTTGATAAACTCGAGGGCCATTTTTTTCCCGAGGCGCAGTGTAATTGGAGGGCGGAGACCGGTATTTTATAATCCAGCAGATTGAGAGCACGTCCAGGTGCGTGGGACTGACGCGCAGGTCCTGTAGCTTACCGCCGCGGTTCCTTATCTCAACCAAGTAGCCGGCCTAATCCATGGAAAAGCTTCTCATATCATGCGTCACAGAAGAAAAAACGCATCGCTCGGTGACGTCGACTGAGTCTCAGGAACTGATAGATCTCCGTTTCTGTGCAGGGATGAGCTGAGCATGTGGAGAATGACGACACGACGGGGACATTATGGGATACTAGCCGACAGGAAACTGTTGAAGTAAACTTTGTGATGTGTGATGTTTGGTAAATTAACGCGTGCTGCACTATGTCTGGATCCGCATTCTCAGAAGCCGGACCATGATCTTCTCCATCACATTTAGTTTGCTAAAAAGTGCTATGTTGCGTGATGCAATGTTTGACTGCGTGTCAAGTAAGACTTTCCATTGCCAGGAAGGGGGGCATCGCCTTTCCGCGAGATTCTACTGTCCGTTCACGGCATCACGGTTGAAAGGGCCCGGGAAAACGAGGGAGCGAGATTCCCACAAATCAGCCCTGCAATCCCTCTTTTTGCTACCGCTCCCATGTCCTCTCAGCACACCGCACAACTGCAAATCCAATTCCTCGTCGTAGGCGGGGGTGTCGCTGGCTTGGCGTGCGCCTATGCCCTGGCGATTGCTGGCCACGAAGTGACCATAATTGAGAAAGGAGCCCTGGATGCCAAGGTATCGTGCTTGGGCCGGATATATGATGTGCGTGACTGACTGGGATTTGCGCTTCAGACTGAGGGCAGCGTCCGCTGCCCCCCAAACATGACACGTCTATTGAAGCGGTGGCCCGGTATGGCTGCTCTTTTCGATGAGCGTGCGACCCCTGTATCTGGGTGAGTTCATTCCTGGTCTTGTATAGATCGGCGTACCTCAACTCGCGGTAAGATTGTCGTTCAGAGATGGTGAGCGAAACAACGCGGACCCTCAGATTGGTAACTGAGCTCGGTGCAGGTCAGACGGGCGTGCCAATCGGCTTCATGCGGTTCTACGAGGAACTTATGTCGGACCTCCGAGCTGACTTCCTCGCGCTCAAGGTCAGTTAGTTTTTCAGATCCAGTTACGCACAGGTGATCAAAGTCCACAGCACGACGACCTGAGGCGCCACCTCGATTTCCTTTGCGCTAGCAGCGGGCAAGTTCGATTCGTCCATGGGCATGTCGTGGGCTTGTCGAAGGAGTCCGTCGACGATGGCGTTTCGGTGTCGCTCCAGGATGGCCGGATACTTTCCGGGGACATTATCGTTGGGGCGGATGGCCATCAGAGCGTTGTTCGAAAACTTTTCTTCGACGAACGAGAACCTTCCGACGTTGTTGTTACTTGGCAAGTCCAGTGCTTTACTTTTGCTCACCTCTGATTCAAGCTTCTAGCGCTAGTCTGGTGATTCCCACGCAAGCTGTTCTGGACCGAGGGCTTGCCAATGAACATGAAGTCAGCCTGCATACCAAGATATGCGCCACATTCTCTGCACTGACATAATATCCCCAGTTTACCATCTGGGCTGGGGACAACTCAATGATGAGTGGAATTCTTGATGTGAGTCCCCCTGGCATTGGAATATCCGTGCGGTTCATAATCCTGTTGAAGACGGCTAGCAAGAACTTTTACTTGGGGATCTGCACCACCGGCCCGGTTGCGGCTCTCAACTGCGACTGGTTCAAGAGTTACGACAACACCTTTCTCCCTGACTTTGATCTGGCAGGGTATGATCCTCGGTGTGTGTTTCTCCGGTTGTGTGTCGGCGCGGTGCTAAATTTGCTTTGCCAGGATCCACGAGTTGATTGACTGCGCCACCGATTGCCACCCGACGATTCAAACGATACACGAGAACCGAGATGCTGTGGCACCCAACTCCAAGGTGATTCTCATCGGCGACGCGGCCAATTCCGTGTTGGTGAGTCGGTTGTGTCTATGAGCTCTTCCGAGTGCCTGATCCCACCTCAGCTGCATGGAACGCACAACACCTCCATGGCGGTAAGGACATGAATGCTCAACTCTTCCCGCACTCATCCCTTGACAGATCGAAGACGCCATGACCCTCGGCTCCCTCTTCTCGAGGGTTCGCACGCGCGAAAAGATCAAGAAGGCGATCGGGGTGTACGATGACCTGCGTGAGCCCCGGGTGGAGCAGATTCGCAAGTCCGAATATGCGTCTCTGAAAGAGATCAGTCTCCCGCAGGGCGTCGAGCGCCAGCGCCGCGACGATGCGTTGCAGTTGACGCTGCAGCCAGAGTATGCGACCTATGAGGATTGCAGCGACTCAGACGACCTGATTGAAGCTTGGGAGCCGTACATAGACGCCTTCAAATACGACGCCGTCGAGGCCGTCGACGACTGGTTCTCCCAGCTGGGCTCCTTCTTCGAAAATGTGCCTCCGTATATTAACATCGTCGTGGCGTGATGTGGCCCTGGTACCAAGTCTTCAAGAATACCCTTGTTTGCTCATACACAGCCTATAGTTCATTTTGATCATGTATAAATACTTATTTAAGCTGAGTTGGCTATATATTGGCCGGGAGAATGGAGAAGGACTCGGGCCAAACTCCTCTGCTCTCGTGCGTCTTGGTTTTGGATCCTCGGGTCTCTTCGTCGGTTTCCGTAATGAAGGCTGCCAGTGCGATATCTACCACTTTTCATCAAGTCCCACGTAGATAAGATAAACCTGTGTGAAGGAGATAAAACGGGTTAATGAGGCAATGTTTGGACCTGATCTATTTAATTGAGCATGCTCTACCCCGCCATTTTTGGAGGCCCCATATCCACGATAGATCACACATGAATCGTACATATTACCTGGCGAGAACACGACATAATTTCAACGAATTTGTTTTGAAAGTCTGAGAGCATTACCACACAGGGATAGAATCGAAAAGATCATCCCAGGCGACCTCATTTCCATCACGGCCGCCGGAATGCTTTGAACCCCGGCAAGAAAACCTATGCGTACCCTTCGGCTCATCTTCTTAACTTGCTTTTGTGACGGATGTTGTTCCTCACGCATCCGTCACGAGGAACGGCAAGCTGATCAGCGAGCAGCTGCATCTTTGATGGCTACCTCGATGCCCCATATACCCGGCGTATTCGCTCTATGCTGTGAAGACCTAGATGTGAATAGGCTGCGCCCGGCAGGGAACCTCTCGCATTGATCATATCGCTACGGCCACCGTCCCGGGCAACTACAGCCATCTCGACAACATTGAGGCCGTCCTCTTCGGTCAGTTCCGAAGCCAAGGTACGCCGTACAGTAGGTGCCACGGGGTCATTTGAATGCAAAATCAGCCCGGAAAAAGCTGGCCGGTGACGAGCGGTGTTGCACCTTAGCCATGAAATCATTCCATCACGTGCATTGAGAGATCTCCACGAATTTGTCAGCGAACTCATCGAGGCGGTTTCACGTGAGCGTTCTGATCATCACTCGATGGGATCAAACTTCTCCTATTTCGGAGTTCATTTCCTCGCTGCATGCCTTCCCACTTCCTTTCGGCGAAATTAAGCATAGAATAAGTCGATTACAATATGGACAAGACTTTGAGATCCTCCGGTTGATTTGATTTTCTTCACATGTAGTATAAAAAGCCTGTAGTGCGGTACAATAAACAAGAAATCCTCTTCGCCCACTCTCTAGAGCTTAAGACAACTTCCCAGTGCTGCACATCTCAAGTGTAAGGGCCTGGGCCAGATTCTTATGGTATGTGGTCCAATGTTGTCCAGCCTACGCATCATTCGATTTATCCGTGTCCTGATCGTCTAAATCCATCGATTCTAGGCCGTGTGATTCGTCAGGTGAAGAGCTGTGGACTGTTGAAAAGCTCAGCGCCTCTTCTTCAGACAATAGGAGATCGTTAGAATTGGCTTACTACTTCGGGCTTTCATAAGCCTCAGTTCCCTCCGCAGAGACTTTATCTCCTTGAGCATGGCCTTCTGCATTTCCAACATCGTCTCCATCTGTGAGGATGTCTGCTCCACTGGGTTTGTCTTGATTGTGCCATCTTCGACCAAAGAATTGAAGTGGCCTCTCAAGGATTTGTTGTAGCGAAGGTTGAGCCCACCAGGCACAACCTTGGTAGCCAGCTGCCAGTCCGTGCTGATGCTCAGGAAAGTTTGCACCAGGTCTTCAGGTGCACCCAGCAAAGCATTAGCAGAGAGCCCATAGATACGATCTTCGGTCCCCCGGGTGTGTCCGCTCTGCATAGCAGAGAAGGGATCCTGATCGACCGAATCTAAGCTTCGATTGCACAGCTTGCGTCGCATGGCAATGTTGACATGACGCCAGGCTGCGAGCTGCATGGACCAGTCAAGGTGCGCAGATGTGAATTCCCCCATGGCAGCGCTTAGCTTGTCAGAAGTAAACTCCCTGCCATAGTCCATAAACAACATTTGCCTATATTTCAACGCACAGTCTGACGACGGTGTTGGCCAGAGTTCGGATGCCAGAAACTGGCGGTTTCATCAGCGCAAAATTTTCCGAGTCATCAATTGTGCCGAACTCACCGACGCCAAAGGCCGTGCAAGGGTATGAACTTGTATCAGCAAGTCACCACAGAAGCTGCTCAAAGCATGTGGGATTAGCTTGTCCTCCTGCCTGAGATTTGTCGTCTTGTCATATTGCCGGATGAGGGCAACATATCGGCCCACAGACATAACGTTGCGAACTCGGTACAACGAGTTGCATGCAAGCATGCTGACCAGCTCTGTCCCCCGTGTGGTAGCACCACTGGTTAGGTCTATGTAGACGAGCAGCATACACTCCACCGAAGCCAGCGCCTGTAACCACTGCCGGCACCGCACATAGTTGAAAGATGAGCCATTGCCAATGGTGAAATCCTTTCTGATCTTGTCGTTTCCCAGAATCGCTTCAAGAAGTTTGCTGCCGCTGTTACTGAGCCCATTGGCCTTGTCCTTGAAAAACGAGTAGCCTTGCTTCGTTTCCAGCAAGTCGTCAGAGAGTGTCCCGTATTCCATCATCAGTGGTAATCCCAGAAGAACTTCGGCTTCCCAGCGTTTGACAATCTGTGCTTCCAAGGTGTCAAACACAGACTGAAGTTGCTTCAGAGAAATCGATTGGCCCTTAAACATGAGCCGGTGTCCGTGAACCAAATCGATCCACACAATATGTGGGAGAGCCATGGAGTTCAGGGTGAGAGCAGTCGCATAGTGCTGCAAGCTCATGAGAGATCCAAATGTAGTACCGGTATGTTCCATCACAAATGGTGCACACCGCTCCATTTCTTTTTCCTGAGTCGTCTTCTTGTCCATGTGGATAGAGGTATGGATCTCCATCAAAACAACCAACCGAATGGCTCGGCAGAGTTTGGAAACAGGAGTTGTGACACGAGGTGGTTGGAAGAAAGTCCCCGATGGCTCCAGACAGAACAGTGCAAGAAAGCACATGGTGGGATCAGCCCAATGTGAATCCCCTCCTTCATCGGCCTTCCATTTTTCCAGCCAAAGGGCCTTGAAGACGTTATGCAGAAGCTGAATTGCTGGCGGCGAGAGGCCTGTTGTCATTAGGCCAGTTTCAAGCATCCTCTCTTTCAACATCGTCACGGCCCCACGCAAGGCCTCTGAGCTTGGAAGTTGTACGGTGGAAGATTGGCGCAGCAGGGCTGCAAGAAGGCGTGTCACAGGTACAATGTACGCTGTAAGTGTCCTTTCTGGCTGATGAAAATCATGCAGCGGAGTGTTGTTGATACCGCTTGACAAGAAAAGAAATAATTAGCGGGTGGGACGTATCCAAGCTATTGACTTACTCCTTGGCCGGATCTGAGCTATTGATTCTTTGTAGCACAGGCTCCTCTGTTACTGGGAGAAACTCTGTTGCGTGTTGAAAGTAATCTAGAACGGCGGAATGGAGTGCAGGGAAATCGTCCTTCTCTGGCATGGATGCCAGCTCAATCAGAAGGCCGATAGAGTCCTGGTGTGGCTGGATGTATTCGTGCCATCGCGTACGCAGAAGTAACGGGCTAATCAGCCGAGCATTTGGAATCTCGGTTTCCATTCCAGCCGCCTGGCTGGAAAAGCGTTTGAAGTTAGGGAGGAGTTGTGATCCTTGTTGTGCTGCCTGCTCGGGGATTCTCTCCACCCAAAATGTTTTTTTTGCATACCCGGTTCCTCCGCGGTTTAAGACCTGAGTCAAACAGTTATCGAGGATCGGGGGCTGAGAACGCGCCCCGTGTATCTTCACGTGCTGTTTGACGTCCTTCGGGGTTCCAAGGTGGCCACACTCAGTACAGACCGAACGTTCAGTCATCACAGCTAATCCTGCGAATGGCTTTCGTGGACCCACGGTCAGCGCACGGATATGGGGCCACTCTTCAAGACAACGCTGATCTTTGCAGACTTGCAAAAACTGGGCCTGAGTAAGCCCACGGAGAAGTGTCTTGTGGGTCGTTCTGAGGTGGTTGAAAACAGATTTAGGGAGCAACGCAGAGCAGCAAATATTGCAGATGAGTAGGCGAAGCTCTGTGTTGATCGCCAAGTGAAGGGTCTCGAATTTCTTGCAATGGATCAGAGTGGGTTCTCCAGCGAGCGGTGAAAATTTCTTGGATTGTTTTGTGTCAGCAGGCTGGCAAATCAACGATTCGAGAACAAATACAAGGGTAGGATCGTCTGAATCCATCCTGAAGAAGCTGCAGAAGAGGTCAAAAACTGCTAGGATCGTTAACCGCTCAGATCAACCTGGATAGTTAGGGACCTGAACAGTGAGCAGGTGGTCGTGATATAGCCAGGAGATGTGATAACACGCTTGCGGCCGGTGTGGGTGTTCAATGAAGGAGGTGTGAAGCTGCAAGCAAGTACTTATAGTAAGGTCCCAAATGGATTCGAAGGAAGATAAACGTGCAATCGATAGCTGAATAATTGATAGGAAGCATCCCTGACTATTCCAATTGTCTTATATCTGCCGTGGGTCTCTAAATCGAGTAGTCCTTTAATTGTACTATTGTTCATGCCATGTGGAGGCTTCAGGCATGTGATGATGAAACCACCGTCCTATTGTATTTTGTGGGGCTGAGACGGAAATACCTGATAACGAAGGTCTTGGTAGCATGTGTTGCACCGCCACCAACAAAATCTAAGTCGAACTGGGTCATGCACAACAGCTTTGCCAGAGAATGTCTTCTTATGCTTGATAAGGATGGCGCCAAGAAGAATCGAAACCGGTGACATCCCTACCGAGCGTATGTGCGTGCAGCCGTACAGGGGGCAGTAAGGGGCTGGTTGGCGGGAGGCGGGAGGGAGCTGCGGCAATCAACCGGAGGATCTCAAAGTCTTGTCCATATTGTAATCGACTTATTCTATGCTTAATTTCGCCGAAAGGAAGTGGGAAGGCATGCAGCGAGGAAATGAACTCCGAAATAGGAGAAGTTTGATCCCATCGAGTGATGATCAGAACGCTCACGTGAAACCGCCTCGATGAGTTCGCTGACAAATTCGTGGAGATCTCTCAATGCACGTGATGGAATGATTTCATGGCCAGGGTGCATCACCGCTCGTCAGTATGTGTCCACCCGAAGAAAAACCAGAAATCGTCGCCCTTGCCGACAGAATGCTTTGCTTCAGCAAATTGAATGAGATCAAATGCTACGTATTTACACCTTATTTACACCTTTCTCTGCTATAGCCTTTTGCAAGGACGATGGACGTGTTGTGATTCCAAATCTGAGGCTTCGCAGTGTGAGCCTGGCTCCATTCCGAGTGGGGACAAGGAGTGCGTGCAGAAAAAAAAATGACCGGGGGTGTTGTAGAGAAGAGACGTGTTTGTTGTAGAGTGTCCATTGTAAGCCACGCACGCGTCGGAAAAACACGGAACAGTGTCACCGGATCACCAAGGCCATCAAACAGAGCGAATCAAGAGTGTGGAGAGTGCCTTGACAAGCAAGGCAATGTGCGTATCAATCCGTGTTGTGTGTAGAAATGGCGCGTGACGGTTGATCTGTCTCGGAAGTCTTGATGAGAGGCGCGGCAACGGAAAAAAATCATATTTATACTGCTTCTCGTCTTCTGTTTTTGGCACGGTCATTGTCCGGAACTCCAAAAAGGAATCATGGAGGGAAGAGTGGCAGCCTTCTCTCATATCACCAATTCCATGATTAAAATCGTTCACACACGTTTCATTAGGGTCGTAGCCCCACCCCTTACCCCAATACTAATTCAAGCTCCATCATACCCTCATCCTTCTCTCTGATATTTCAAATTTCGGGACGGTGACGCTGTCAGCTCAGTGAGAAGCTGCCTCTGATATCATGATATCAAGATCGCCCTCAATTATCTCCTCGAAGTGATTTTTTAGCTGCAATCCACAAATGGAAGGGTGAAGAATCCGCCTGAATGGGCATGCTGCTCGAAATGCCTGGTGTTAGCTATTTTTTTCTACCGTATTGGCAGGAATAATGTCTATACTCCGGTCGTAGCATATATCTCTGTTTGAGTGTCCATCATCCATGACTTAAACCTCAAACTGGGAGGACAAGTGCAAAGTTGAAAGCTATGGAACCCGGAAGGCTCTGTTGAACAACCGAGACGGCTGACAGTGATGGCGTGATCTGGGGTCCCGCTTACCGAATCGTAGACTTCAACATCGGTAATATAGTTTTGTAGACAACTGTGATCGGTAAGTCCTCATTCAAGCCCCGACGGTGGCGGAAAGACTGAGGATGCGCCACAATAAAAAACATTAAGTGGGGTATTTACTCAGATCTGTGGTGCACGGGTGTACTACTGAGCTTCAGGAGACGCTTCCGATGTAAGACTGGTTAGCCCAAAGAATTTACAATATCCTGAGCAGATGTGCTGCATCGGGAACAGCTCAAAGAATGTGCCCGAGTCTCCACGGCCAAAAAGACCACATTCCGGTTTCCCAAGCATGGTGTTGACTATCAATATTAATGACCGTATCAATGATAAATAATCATTTCAATTTCTCTGTTAAGTAATACCCTCGGTATACTACCTAGATAGAGTTCGGGTCTCCAGAAAGTGACATTTGATCTTCTATCACACGCCGTTTGATGCCAGTAATATCAGCCGCGCGCGTATCAGCATATCGCTCCAGGCCTCCATGGATTGCATCTGTCTTATTTTTGACATCGTTGAGAACGACGAGGTCGGAGGTTCGGGTCCCGCGGGAATCTACCTCAAGGCAAAGCGAAATCCAGCGGGACTGGAAATTAACGCAACGGGGGTTCAGCGCGGGTGCTTTACTAGTGTGCGAGACTCCAGAGGGTCTCAGCGGGTCCCGGGGTTGATTAATATAGCCCCTCAAGGCCTGGTAAGTACGCGTGTGCAAGCTTGAAACTTCTGTGTCAGCGCACTCGTCGTACAAGACCACGCTGTGAACGACTATGGTCGCATCAATGATGACCGAGACATGTACAAAGCACTTTCGTGCAGTCATCAAAAATGATTCCTATTCTCTCTTATTTTGACCGCAACCGTCTATTTATTGCGAGCGAAGTGAGCAATTACCGGCTGAAGGGCTGCCAGATTGCAGTAAACAAGTAAAAGTTCTCCGAAGCCCATCAATTGACCACTCGAAGAGTGGACACCGTTCATACGTGTTCAATTTAGCATCTCTTTCTCTGTAAATATGTAATCCTGTGGAATACATCTAAATCTGCCCGCTTGCGAGTTACTACTCAAAATGACCGATATTTGAGACCATGCTGACCGCCCTTTTCTCAATAATTTTCAAAGCCGAATAAGGGGTCCAAATAAGTTTGCTTCGAATACTTGGCTATCTTGGATTCAGAGACTTGTATACAAGATTCATGCTAAAAAGCACTCATTAAAGTGATACTCACCGCGACAGAAGGTCGCCAGAGCGCCGCTCAACGCCCCACTCCATCAGGTGAAGCACACGTGACAAGACGTGACCGGGCGCGTAGATATAGACTTTGATCTGAATTCAAGCTGTGCAATTTTCTTCGCGAGCACCCAGCGCCCTTGCGCAATTCCATTTTGAACCCATGGCTCCACACAATGTTTTTGCGGACTGGGAGATCCTTCCGGTGTGTAGCTCGGTTGTGACTCTTGAAAACTTAGACGTGTCTGATCTCTCATAGGCTCAAGCTGCCGAAGCCACTCAGGCTGCCAAAGCCACTCAGGCTGGTGAACCCACCGTGGTTGGTCATGCATCTTTCAAGTTAGATATATCTAATGGTTTCACTCGCAGCCTCAAAATCGGACAGTAAAAGTCACTGGGTCTTCTCCTTACCGTGTTTTCGCAGACTGGCAGCTCCCTCCGGTGCGTAGCTCAGCTGTGACTCTTCGAAACTTAGACGTGTCTGATCTCTCATAGGCTCAGGCTGCCGAAGCCACTCAGGCTGCCAAAGCCACTCAGGCTGGTGAACCCACCGTGGTTGGTCATGCATCTTTCAAGTTAGATATATCTAATGGTTTCACTCGCAGCCTCAAAATCGGACAGTAAAAGTCACTGGGTCTTCTCCTTACCATGTTTTCGCAGACTGGCAGCTCCCTCCGGTGCGTAGCTCAGCTGTGACTCTTCGAAACTTAGCCATATCTGATCTCTCGATTTATCACTAGGCTCAGGCTGATGGAACTACTGTACAGGCCGGTGCTATCAAGCAAAAGAATGTGCCAGTGGGTCAATTGTCAAATTCTGATCAGAACTGCACATTGAACGAAAAGCCTTCCAGGCTAAGAGGAACAACAAGCGCTCACGCCAACAGGCCCTTACTCCAGGTGATTCTCCTTCTGCCAAGCGTGTATGTTGCGCTTTCTTCTATTGGCATCCCATCCATTCTAAATGGCACAGCATCAAGCAGGGGAGGACTCTGATGAGGAAATGGACCAAATTCCAAACGTTTGTTGAAAACTCAAACATGCTGAGTCGCTGGTGATATGCCCTATCTTTCTCTAGATGGATTTGGAGGCCCCAGGGGTTCATCAACCGGCTCAGGTATTTCTCTGTATTTTTCTTCTCTTATCAAACTCGAGCGATTACAGGGGATGTTGATCGATGAAGATGAAGTGTAAGACCGCGGAGCTACATCGAATACGGTCAAAAATGATGTTGGTGCACACAATCCTTGTCGTAGCAAAACACAATATGCAGGTATTGATTGAAAAAGCAGCTGCTCATACATGACCGCATGCGTCACCAGTGCTTCTTTCTGTAGCCTCACTAATTGCATATCACTGCCTAATGAATGCACTATCCAACACCCGTGTACTGTAAATTTTTGACCCTAGCTTTGTGTCATCGGTCATTGGGTTCCTGAAGCGTCGGGGGTCTCCAGGCTAATGTCATTTGCAAAATTTAAACGTCATTTTATTTGACGATTCTTAGCATATATTTCGGTACTGCAAGAGTGCAAATTGTTCTTAAGCTAGTCCACCGATGCCTCAGAGCCTCCAAAGCGCGTTGGAGCACGAAAATTGCAGCGCTCGCGCCGGGGCGAGACAGGGAGATCATATGCATCCGCTTCCGCACCAAACCCCACCTCCTCAACCACAGCAGTCCTGATGACCCCGGGACCATTCAGAAACAGCACCTCCCACACATCCAATGCTCAGCACATACTATCAAGTTCAGCACTTTGTCCGAATGTTCATCATGTCATGTCATATCTGCAGCACATTTGATATTGTGATGCGCAGCACCTTCCTAAGCGCCTGTGAACTCATCAAGGACTGACATACACACGTGAAATGCGCATGATATGTGACAGCTGTGACCGCACGCGTCATGAATGTCCTATTGACAAGACAATTTGGACACGGGTGAGTGATCCAGTTTTTGTATCCCACACCCGGTAATACACTTGGGTATTTCACACTGTTAAGTTCTTCCATAAGGATTCGGAAACTTGTGGTATTGAAAATACTTATCAAATAGCACTGAACTGGAATGTCGGAGCCATTCTAATATCTGTTAGTGGTCAAAGGAGGCCAAGCGTTGAGTGACACGGCAGCGAAGACCTAAGTATATTTCCTTTTGTCTCCTGGATGTTGATGATCGCTCCTGACGATCGTGTTAGTCATAAGTAATGATAAGTAATTATGAACTACTTACCACTACTTATCTTACTACCGCCCTCCTGCTTCTTCAACCAGCTTCTAGAAAATTCTGATACCCAGTATGTATACAGTAGGTAGCCTACAGAACAATATGTTTCCTGTTGAAGCCTGATCTAAAATTCCAAATCTCAGCAAGCTGCGTTGACTGTGGACCAGGATTAATTCATATCCGGGGAGATTGAGTCGATACAAGTCAGGCCTCCAGAATTCGCCGCGGGACCCCTGAAAAATCCAAGTCCCGCACTCAACGACGGCGGCACTGTTTGGCCTTCTGTAAACAGTAGCATAGAGTGTGATGTAGTAGATACTTATCCCAATTTGTTGCATCCGTCGTAGTCTTGACATTGTTGAGAGCGACGAGGTCGAAGAGTCGGGCGCCGCGAGAATCTACTTAAAGCGGGACTAAACCCAGCGGGAATGGAAAATGACCCCGCGGGGGTCCAGCGGGAGTGCTTAACTGGTGTGCGGGACTCCAGCAGAGGTCGAGCAGATCCTGCAGCTAATTCATGTAGCCCGAAACAAGTCTCGATCACTCGATATCGGTGATTGGGTCATCTGTAGTCTCGAAAGATTCGAATCGATTTGAATCGATTCACTTACTATGCACGGTGCAGAGTTTTCCATTCAAGTGGTATCTACACTTATCGTCGGAATTCAATGTTCGAGTTCTCATGCTTGAATTCTGTTTCACCGCTCGTGCCAAGATCAAGAAATGCATCGTCAGAGCTAGTCAAAATGTACATTGGTATCCTATGAACTTTGTTTCAATTACAAATTCAGCCGCTCGACTGCTTTCCGCTGCCTTTTTGACGCACGAGAAGGCTCTGCAGGCTGAGGAATCTTTCGCTTTCGAGACCCCATTGTCCTCCCACCGGGTGAGCTGACCGGTCGAGAGGATTCTGTAGTCTGTTCCGAGACTGCAGCCGTCGGAGACGGAGAGCGCGGTGGAGAAGGGAGACGGCGCTCAGGATCGATCAAAAGGGGTGAAGCTGGCTGTCCGTAGAATGTCGGAAGTGGCGGCATGCCATATTCGTCCAATGTCACGGGTTCAGTAGCATCATAATCACAGGGAAACATCGGCAACATGGAGGTAAGATCTGGCACAGAAAAATTCCCGAAGCTGATCATTGAGTTCACCTCCTCGTCCGAGAGTGTAACGGGAGTGAAAGCAGGATTGAAATCCACGGAGTAATCGATCGGCGAACCAGATGGTTCTCCAGTCAGGAGCAAATCGTCACCCAGATGAACAGTTCCCTGAGCGGTCACTACAGACACAGGTTTGATTGCCGGAGTTGTTTCGGTGGGAGGAAGCCGTTTTGCAGCTTTTAACAACTCAGTAACATGAATTTATCAAGAAATAAACTGATAACGCACGGACAATTCGAGTCTTGACGCGACCACTAGAGCTCGAGGAAACGATCATCGTCTCCGTGTTCGAGAGAGCGGTTCCCGCCGATTTACGGAGCTGTTCTCCACCCCCGCCTCTCTTCTTGCCGGCCTTCTTGCCAGAGTTCTTTCCTTCAGATTTGTTCACATGGGCTTTGGCGGCAGCATTCGCCCTCCGGGTCGTATTTCGGGCGCGCCGCTGGTACGAACCATTGTTGGGATTGACATCAACGCCAGAGCTCAACGCAACAGCACGTTCGCGAACGACCTGCGAGTCAAGCTTGCGAGCGCTGATTTTGTATGAGTCATGTATCATAGTTCAAATCATAAAAAGAACCTTTCCATTCCTTCGACAAGAGACAACTTGATTCCGGTCCGAGCTTTTGTCCAGGCATGCTGAGCCTCGTTGAGATTTGTTGTCTTGTCTGCTTGATCCCAATCATCTGCAGGAATGAGCGACTGCGACTTGATGACGCAGGGCAAGATCCAGTCACTATCGATTTTGTGTTTCCACCAGTCTGACATGTATTGTCAAATGGAACGAGCAGGAAAGCAGAAGAGGACGCACTGGAGATTTTGGGGATACCGAGACTCGCCACAAACTGTGTGAACTCGTCGATTGCCTGCCTGCTCTTAAGATCAACAACCCCCAGCAATCGCTTGTAATCTTTGGTATCAACGAGTGGAGCAAAGTTGAGGATTGCTCTTCGAGATTATAAGAAGGGATCGATGGGGTTCCAGAGAAGCACGTACCGTTTAAAATGAGTGTGACACAATTTCACACAATACGGAGCAACCTGAGACGGTGATGTATCACGACTGACACTGCTATGGACAGGATCGCTCCGCTTCAAAAAGGAATGAACAGCGCCAATCACTTGCGCCACATCCATATCCGAATTCAAGGCAATGAGATTTCCGCCCTTGTGAAATACTTTGAATGCGAACGGCTTCCCAGTGAGTTCCACCTTTGTTTCCTGAAGGAGATCCGTTGCCGTCTCCATGTCTTCAGTGTCCTTGCCGTTCATATATAAATGAGCAATAGTATATGCTTTGCACGCAAATTACTTGAGAGGTAAAGCAGTTATGAAGTTGGAACGCACCACGGCCAGTTACTGCATCATTCACAGTGACCTCCAGATCTTTGATATCCCCCAGGAGTCTGGAATACGTAAGGTCCTATGCCACGCTCTTGACACCAGCATCATTGGCGATTTCGAGGAGGTCTTTGAATGCGCCGACCATGAAGAACTTTCCGTGAACTGTACGAATGAGTCGGTGGTAGTATTTTTCGTTGATGCTCTTCAATTGGTCATCATGGAACAGACGCGACGCGCCTAGGAAGGATATGAGCCTGTTGACAGGCAAGCGCGGATAGACTCACCTTTCAGATCAACTCCATCTGGGAATTCCTCCAGTTTGGTCTCGCGGATGATTTTGCGCTTTGTTGTATTTGAGTTGAGTGCAGTTGAGAATTTGCCAGGGGTCAGACCGTTCAGCTTGAGTTTTGTAGAAGCCGCTGAAGAAAATGGGATGAATGAAGGAGAATGAACAAACAGAAAAACAACTTGCCAAGATCAACCTTGGGCACAGTGGCACCAACAACTCCAAATGCCTTGATGCAGCCCTTGAAGACAGCCTTTGTTTCGTAATCGAGTTTTCGAAACACCGGCATCGGATGGCTGTGAGCATGTTCTGCATGGTTGTAAACAAGAGCGAGTCGGATGCTGGGATCTTTAGGAAGGTAGATCGTTCGTTTGGCCTTGCATTTGTACTGTTTGATTTTGTATTCATGGGTTTGGCCATCGATTATATGTGGGTACCCTGCCAGAACAAGTTCGATGAATAAACAACATTCAAGGAGGATATCTACTCACTGCACTTGCCCTTACGGCCAGTAGATGGTGAAACAATGGTGGCGCAGGAAGGGATATCCTCAGCGGACACGGTGCATCGGGCAAATACACGGGCAAAGATTTTGGGGTCAATTTCGCTCGGAAGAGCGAAGTACATGTGATCCTTCTTGGTCCCAGCATGAGTGCAGACCACAGCATACGTTGCATCGGGATGGCCAGGCTAGAACTCCTGAGATGGAGATAAAGGATGTATGCAGATGAAAGCATGCCTTGTGAATCAGACGCAAAGTCAGGACACCATCGCATGGCCGACCGTCTGGAAGCGAGGCCCGGCACTGTTTAGATCGCATCACACCAGCATGTCTGTTGATTATTGGGATAAGACATCACACATGCGGGAAAAGAATGTACGGACTCAATAGCTAGTGCTTCAGCGGAAGATCCGGCATTCTGTCGATCGTGTCCCTGAGCACGTCGGATGGCATCGCGAGACTCAGTGCTCATGCCACGGCGTTCACCCTCCATCAGAACCGGATTCACATTCCTGCAGGCAAAACCGCCTTGGACTGCATTCAACCAAGAAGTTCTTCAAATCAAAAGAAGCACGCACCTTTGCAATCCAGTCGTGCACGGCGGCTCTCAATTGGCTTCCCGCCAGGAGTATAAACAACCATGGGGGATGTGTCTCCCTTGCCCGTGTTGCTGGCCCAAGAATCCTGGTCCTGTTGATGGCAGGCTCAGTATGATAATGGATAGCTTTCACTCTCTCCGCACCTTGTTTTTGATGAGAGCATCAATGGTGCGAAGATTGCCGTCCCCATCCTTGAGCTCCTCCCCACTCTCCATCAGCTTCGTTCGGTCGATGAGAAATGCAGTCAGTTTCTCGGGCACAGGCCATATCGATGGGATCCCCGTTAGACGTTCTATACGTTCGACAGTCAGCTTTGCCATGACTTTGTGTGTGTTGGTCCAAGAATCAGAGGTCAGGTTGCGATCAAGCCATTTGGTGTCGGATGGGACCCATCCTGCTTCAGGATCATTGTTGTCGAGCTCCGAGTCCGTCATCTCATCATCACCTAGCAAAGGAAGGAGTCAGCAGCGCAATGCATGGAAGGAGCGGTGCAACACACTAGCAACGGCCATCGAGGATGCGTCATGGGAGGTGGGAGATGGAGGCAGCAGTGACCGGATGACTTCTATGTGGGAAGTGTGAGTTGCGATCCGCAAGATGTGGGTAGCGAACACACGAAAGTCAACACTCAGAGCATTCAGATTCTCTCTGTCCATGACAGACGCCCTGCCTTCCTCGACCATGGGAGCTCCATATGGATTGGGAAGCGGAGATGCAGGCAGTGGTATATTGACAGTAGCAGGCGTCGGATGAGCCTGTGCGCCAAGGAAGGACTTGAGGTCATCAATGTCGATCCAGTCAAGGCTGACGAACTTCTCAGGCTTCTTCCCAATGTATTCGGTGGTGTACATCTGAGCCGCGACCGGAATCATCAGAATTGTGATACAAAAAAGCGACGCGTCAACGAACCAAGTCTCAAAACGCCATCAGAACCGCGTACGTTAGACCGCGGATAAGCATGAGGTCGTCGGGACTATGCTTAGACATCGTGGCCCGACAGTGATGCGGACAGCAAAGGAAGGAATGTCAAGTTTCCGCTTGATGGTGGTGGTAGAATGAAGGAAAGTGTATGTATTTGTTGAAATTGGTGCCCGAAGATTTGCACGTGACTGAATGAGACGCGCGCCAACACGTGCATGCCCACACGCACCCACACGCGCCCATGTGCAGCACATTTCCTTTAAATACAATGTACAACATATGGGCCACTTACATACAGAATGTGCTGAACATTGAATGTGTGGTAGGTGCTGCATCTTATACATCCCCTGATGACCCTGACCCCACTGTCAAAATAAGAACCCTCTGGCAACTCCGCATATGTTTTGAGAACGAGTTCTCGCACCTATGGAGGCCAGGAACAAGATACTGATAAGCGTGCCAGTTGGGGGTTGATGCCGTGATCCCCGTGATCGCTGCGTGTGGTCACATGTTCTGGACCCTGTACACCATCAGACGCGTCTTACAGACTGGAAATGTTTATTTACTTAGGTTTTAGTCGAACCGTTACCAATCGAAGATTTGGTAATATCGATTTGTCACATTGTTAAAGACAACACCAGCGTTATCTCGTTACTTGAGGAAGTAAGTAATAGTAACATCGTTAACAGATATGTTCTGAGTCAAAAAGCAGGATTGTGTCCAAGCAAGAAATGCTCAAAGGGCATGTCTGCAGTCACATGTACATCTCTGATCTACCAGGATGTACAGTGGTTCGAGTTTGAAAAACTGGCAGTAACGGGAGCACTGGTGCTGCTGAGGGAACTCCGTGAACATGGATCCTATGTTCCCACCTCCGAAAGTGCGTTCCTTGATCTCTCTGCAGATGCGGCAAGCGGAAATTACCACCGCTTACCGGTTTTACCGCCAAAGGGCGGTAAGGGCAGTAATTTGAACAGGTTTGGAAGACGTGCGGAACCAGGGCTCTGGGATCCCGTTAGAGTACAAGTGGTCACATGTGTAGCTTTGTTATCAATCCAGCTTGGCTCAGGCCACCTCGCACCAATGCTCCCCGCTTTCTGGAGTAGGGATACTCCAGTACTAGTGAATCACTCAAAAATGTCATAGAGTTCTTGTCTGTAGAGTCTAGACCCAGTAATGCTCTCGAGCGACTCATCAAAACTCAGCTCTTGGGCGGTAAATCCCAGTACTCAGCAATAAGGTGAACGGTAATGGCGATAGATGGGATGGTAATAGTGGTAAAGTGCACAATTTGAGAGCGGTAGAAGCCAAGGTCTGTTGGTCCTGCAGGAATTTTCAACACTCAAGTGTCAGTGTGCTCGTGCTGTCTCTAGAATTTCAGAGTTCTACAGCACTAGTGCCGGCCAAAAATACAAGAGAGCTCTCCAGCAGAAGCGTGAACCACTTTTTTTTTCAGTAGAAGAATCTCGTTGTGGAGCTTTTTTTGCTCACAGAAATCTGTTTAGTGGAGCTATGTGTAAGCCCAATTGTACAAGGTCGTCGAGCAGGCCTCTGAGATTCTGTCCGGATTAGGCAACCTCTTGCCTGTGGAATCAATAGACCCGGAAGGCACATGTGCAATCTTTATGACCTTGTCTGGACTGCAGTACGCAGAACGTTGATGGAGTTGGTGTTATCCATGGTCACAAGCGGTCCCAGAACAAATGCCAGAGTGCGCTTGAGTGTATTACATAGCGTGGCCGTCGTAGCTCTTGGAGAAGTGTGTGCAAGTCGCCTCTCCGGTGCGCGTTCCATGTTCAGAGAGTCACATGATCGCAGTGGAGCACATTCTTGGAACGTTTTCTATTTTAATTTCGATTAGATTCCAGCAAATTTAGTTACAATCTGAATAAGGAAACAGCCCCAAACGTTCTGCTGGAGAGCTCTAATACCAAAAAATTGATTTTGAACATATTCAAATATACATGAATACGATACAGCATTGGACCTGACAACTGGACATGAATACTTGCAGGCAAACATGATATGATATGACAGTGGTTAATGTATTCAAACATATTTGGATATGATTATAGCAGGATCAGCCATCATGCAAGCAACCTTGGGAGCAACTTGTTGAAGTAATAAGATTGAGAACTTATTTTAATTGAGTAGCTACTGCTCCTATGTATACTATGGATAACCAATATCTAGAGTGTAAAAGAATGAACCTGAGATCGGTAGTAATGACTAAGTAAGCTTAGTAATGATAAGTAATTGATCTTGTATATTTTGAGAACAAATAGATCAGGCTGCTACACAGTCACGGAGATAGACGTACATACCACATCCACAAACAGACAGGACAAGCGTACAAAGACCCTCAACTCCTGCAGATCACATGCATCAATCAACACACGTAAGGGCATGTGTTCAATTCTCAGCATTTGACACCCCAGCAACCTCCAACTATGACATAAAATGGCTTCCAGGCCCCCCTCCGGAGGCCATCCTAGAGGCGCCTTCCTAATTGGTACTCTGCCCAGCCATTCATCAATGGCCTGCATGGTGGACTAGGCATTTGCCTAGATGTTTTTTTGGTGCTGTAGTAGTCAATTCCATACCCCAGATCATGTCCTAGTTTACAAAACTGTGTATTCTCTGCTTGCAAATAGTGGACCATTAGGCACCCAGAATTTGGGATTTGAGCGGATTAGCACTCCTCAAGTGCATGAGAAGAAGGTATATATATATTGATGTAGGATTGAGCACAAGAAACCGGTGCCTACACACAAAAATGAGATATTGTTGCAGAAATAGCCTTCTGCCTCTGCAACCTCCAAGAGCATGAAAAAAGATGACAGGACACCCACAGACCCTTTAGAGCGACTCTTGTATCTACATTGGACCATGAAGATCAGCTTTAATGATAGCTCAGCATGTAGATTGGATGCTAGCACCAATACCAAAACTGGCCTCCACTGCCTCCACAGCTAGGGACTGAAAACAGTTACTGTGGATTCAGCCACATACCATGTTTATGACATTATCTATCTTCATTTGGATGCACAGGGTTTTCTCAAGTGGCCACTCAGCATGTGAATTGGATGCTGGAGCAGATCACAGAAAAGCTCTCCGCTGCCTCTACAGCTGGGGACTAAAAAATCAGTTTCTTTGGATTTAGCGGCAGAAACTATATTTTCAATGTCAGGTGTCTTTATTTGGATGCCAAGGGTCCTCTACAGAGACAGCTCAGCATGTGAATTGGATCCTGGAGCAAATGGCAGAGCTGGCCTCCACCGCCTCCGCAGGTTATTACTTGAAGAGTCTGGGTGAGATGACAATGTAACAGATAGTGTCAGGGGAACCCCTGCTTTTGTCCGGTCATTATGGGATCTTGCATGTGACCACGCACGTGCCATCTGTCAGGCGTCACATCCTTCGGTCCAGACTTCCCTGCCAAGCGCATCCCACATGACCCTCCAGCCCGGGCTCCCATTGTTCTGATGGTCCGGTGATAGGCTGGCTACCAGACGCGCTCTGCACCAGCTCTGTAAGGGCGTATTTTTGCGCTTTTTACAGAGTTTACTCTTGAACCATTCGGTGTATCGTGTCGCGGTTGACAGTGTTGCGCTCAGTAGGACTTAAGGGTCTACTGCCCAGTCGACGACTGTGGATAGTGTCGACGATAGCAAGGCAGTCAGACCACTACTGTGGAACTGGTCTTATGGGTCTACACCAGGCTCAGGGCCATTAGTGACGAACGCTTGGACCGCGACCATTCCCCAAAAAGGGATCTGTCGTTGCGTCGACTTCTCGAAAAGGGTCATTCTCTGCAGATGGGAACTTGGGCTGAAGGGCTGAGCAATGCGCGACGTTCTCAATAATAGAACTACTACTGGACAGGACTTGGCGTTACAAGACTTAAACCATCTTGTCGCGGCAACTCCCGGTTTTGAGTTGGACGTTTCCTCAGATCATGCCACGACGACGACTTGTCACATGTCAGGATCCATTCGATCACGGGACATTGTGGACGCGTCGCGGTGACACTTCCAAGTGTCACGGCGAGTCGCGTCCATACCCAAACACACTAGAAACCGACACGGCTAGATCCGTGAACCGAACCATGTGGGGGACGACTGGTGTGCCTAGGGCCATACGGCTTCTTGGGGCGCCCACGTTGGTCTCACTTGCCAAGACATACCCGTTGGCCAATCCAACACGTCGTATTCCAAAAGTATGACGCGGTGGGTTGACCCACATCAAAAGTATCATATGGACAATGGGGCGGGGTCCTGATCACTCAGGACCTGTCCGATCGTTCAACTTTTCAATTACCCTAAAAGGCAACCGATCTTAGATAGCGTAGCTACTATGCAGTTGTACAGGACTTTACTAAGCAGCGTCGTAGACAGTATAAGTAGCACGTCGTTTCTTTGTATTGGGGAGCTTTCCCCCGGACTGTGAATCACTCTCATTTCAGATTGTTTTGTACAATTTGCGTGCCGCGTGATTCCACCCTAAGAAGTTCTGCTACCCCTGCCCGGTCGCGACGAGTTGCTCCCTGAGCACTTGTAGCTACTGTGATTTGAGTTTGAGTTGAGACATCAGAAAGTCGGATTCGCCGCATCTGGTTTAGTCGCGGCATTTAGTGTCGTCGCCTTCGGGCTTTGTTGAGATCGTTCCACACCTCTAGCTTGGCAGTGCGTCGACTAGTTGTGCTCGGGTTGTTTTGGTCAGTTGGCAGTGCGTCGACTTGAGAACTTTGGTTCCACACTTCTTGCTTGGCAGTGCGTCGACAAGTTGTGCTCGGGTTTTGGACATTGGATATTGGCTGTTAGTTGGCAGTGCGTCGACGCGGCATTTTGGTTTACTAGTTGGCAGTGCGTCGACTCAGTACTTTTGGTTTACTAGTTGGCAGTGCGTCGACTCAGTACTTTTGGTTTTG